CTGCCCGCCACTCACATTGGGCTTCAGAGCTCATCCAGCACCGGCCTTCCCAGCCTCACAAGACATCACATGCTTTCATGTGATTCGCCGGCACGACCCCAGCGGATGGGGCCCCAGTACTGAATTCCACCTTTATAGTGACCCGTGGATGCGGAAAGGAAGGTTTTACCTGTCAGGCAACGTGGGTGCATGATGGGCTGGCCTGGATGCAAGGCCTCCAGGGCATTTCACACGCAGCAGCCTGTCGAGGTCTCATTGCAACTGGGGTGATGACTGGTTTCAACGTGGACTAAATATCGGAGGTAGGCAAGCAGTCTGTGTGTATGTGTGTCTGTGTGAGAGAGAGAGAGCAGTGTGTGTGTGAGAGTGAGCAGTGTGTGTGTGTGAGAGCAGTGTGTGTGTGTGTGTGTGTGTGTGAGAGAGAGAGAGCAGTGTGTGTATGTGTGAGAGCAGTTGTGGGGTGTGTGTGTGAGAGAGAGAGAGCAGTGTGTGTGTGTGAGAGAGAGCAGTGTGTGTGTGTGAGAGAGAGCAGTGTGTGTGTGTGTGTGTGTGTGTGAGAGGGAGCAGTCAGTGTATGTGTGTGAGAGCAGTCTGTGTATGTGTGAGAGCAGTCTGTATGTGTGAGAGCAGTTGTGGGGTGTGTGTGAGAGAGCAGTCTGTGTGTGTATGTGTGAGAGCAGTCTGTGTGTGTGTGTGTGTGAGAGAGAGAGAGCAGTTGTGGGGTGTGTGTGAGAGAGCAGTCTGTGTGTGTATGTGTGAGAGCAGTCTGTGTGTGTGTGTGTGTGTGTGTGTGAGAGAGAGAGAGAGAGCAGTTGTGGGGTGTGTGTGAGAGAGCAGTCTGTGTGTGTATGTGTGAGAGCAGTCTGTGTGTGTATGTGAGAGAGCAGTTGTGGGGTGTGTGCATGAATGTTTCAGGCACTCAGTCAGGACAGATGTTATCACTTCAGTGTGGACTTGTTGCAGTGACAGTAAGTTGACTTCCACTGCTGACATCTCATCCCTTTTGATGGTTTCTCATAAAAACGAGCAGCTGATTTTGTCATTCTGTCCCAGGCAGGAAGAGCATGTAGCTTATTAGATTATTTTCCTTGTAATTCTCATACATTAAGAATAATACTTTTTATAGACCGTGTTATGTTTCGAGCAATATTGATTTTTTCCGGAGCATTTAATAGGCTGGTTTCAGTAAATGAGGATAAATGTGACCTTATATGGGAGAGTGAATGTGTTTTTCTTACTGAAAGCACAGTACAACGTGAATGAAAGGTTTGGTTATTCACACACACACAGGCACACACACACACACACACACACAATCCAGCTGAATTCCAGCTGATGGCTTTGAGGGTCATGGAAAGGTTTGCTTTTGCTCTTTGCTTTTAGTGTGGGAGGGGTCTGCACATGGTGTTGGAATACTGAACCTCATTAACTTTTTAGGCCTAAGTCTGCACCAGGAGAAACACTGAAGAAAAAAGCCAAAGTGACTAACGGAATGCTGATCACGACACAGATTGGAAATGTTCAGTGTGTAGTGACACCTTTAGAGCTAGGGAGGTGGTTGCTGTGTTTTTGGAATACGGTCATATGGTACGAAGGCACGAATCGCTCTTTAGAATCGATTTTCTATTTTTCCGAGTGAGCACGTGCAACTCTGCAAAGTCTTTTTAGGGGGTTATTGACAGGAGGTTAAATAGGGGCCACTTGTTTTTTTTATATTCCTATTTATTAAACCTAATTCCTGCATGCTGCTGTTCGTTATGCTCTCCTAGACCATTTCGAGCCTGTTTTCTCTGCCCCCCCCTCTGCCTCGTTTGGTGGCCCTAATTGGCTTAGACTGTAATTTGGGTTTTGCAGCCTGTGTAAAGACACGGGGTCCCACTGGGAGGAGGGGGAGTCCTGTGACTGAATTAAGGGATTCCTCGGTTCCAAAGTTGAGGTTGTGTCACATGCATAATCTCTGTCCCGAGAGACGTCCCCTTTTGATGATGCGTATGGACCTGCTAGTCCCAATGCATTCTGAACAGTGCAGTTTATATTGGAATGATGTGCAACTACGTACGAAAGGCCGTCTGCATGAAACAAAGACCTGAATCATAAATGAGACCCCTCCTTCTCTCCAGGGGCATAAACAGGGGAGGGTCCACAGGGACTCTGGTTCCAGCTAAAAGCTGATGGGGCCTCGGAGTGCCCCCTCCCCTGTCACTCACCGATTAAAAACATATCATTGACTGATGACAAGACTGCCTGTCTGTGTGATTTTTGACCCCTCTTATGCCCCCCCCGACCTTAAAAAACCCACCCCTGATACTGAGACAGTCCTGGCCCCTCTCTCTCTCTCTCTCTCTCTCTCTCTCTCTCTCACAGCTCCGACATGAGTGGTGCCAGCAACACTCTGGCCCGCGAATTCCTGACCGATGTGCACCAGCTGTGCAGCGCCGTGGCCCAGCGGGTCGAGGAGGATGAGGAGAACCAAAGCCACATGGCGGCACTGGGGGAGTACCTGGTGCTGGGCCGCGGCTTCCTGCTGCTCAGCACCCTGGACTCTGTCATTGACCAGGTGGGGTCGTCGTCTGAACACACAGACCAACATGGCGGCCCGTGTCGCCACTTGACGTGTATGTAAATGAGCTCTGAGTCACTCTTTCCGTAGCCTGAGTAGCCGGCTGCTGGTCCTGCCTCTCTGTAGTGATAAGCTTACATATCCTCTGCTAGCACTAGTGTGCATCCGCTGTCGCCTGACAGCCTCCCATGTACCAACTTATTAGCATTAGCAGTAGATTAGCATGGATAGCACCTGCTAACCATTTGGCCACACACACATACTCCTGCCTGTGACAGGCCGCGTCATACACACAGCTCACGTGGCGCCATCCCCGCTAAACCGAGCACCGATATGCTAACTCTCATGCGCTATCGTCACATAGCTCTCAGTAACGAACACAATCTCTTCACCTCATTAATAATTCAGAAGCTTCATGTTCCTCAGAAACCCAAACCAGCAGAATGAGTCCCCCCCCCCCCCCCCCCCCCCCCGTGGTTTTCTTGGTTTATATTGTTGATAATTGTTATTTTGTTGCCTCCTCCTTCTTTTATAAGTCGGAGAGATCTACCCCCAGTTTTGAAGATCAAAATAGATCGTGTCGCTCTTTAGGGTTGTGTCCCCCTACCTCCAGCCATTGGGAAAACTCCTTTTAGCCAAATAAACTCTAGGTGAATCGGATATGCGCCCAAATAGGGAATGAGCAAATCCCCGAGAGAGAATTACCTTGTGGTTTCTCAGCAGTATTGATTGTCCTGTCAGACACGTGGGAATCACTGTCGGATGTCTGTCCCTCTGACACGGGCCATAGGGAATGCAGGACTCTGTATTCCACAAATTCAGCTTGTCCAGCCAAAGGAAAGGGGACCGTCATGCTGTCCCTGATATGGCCGCCTTGATCTGTGAAGGAGGTTTGCTGCAGGGGGTTTGCCTGTGCATGTCTTAGGTCACTGGACCAAACCTCGTTTGGCACTACTTGCATGTGTCCTGAAAAATATTGATCCTTTCATATCTTTCATCTTGCACTTTGTTCCTGCGTTGGCTTCTGAGGACAAAGGACACTGACTTTGAGATTAGAATGTGAGGCTGATTCTCGTTTAATTGGGAGTAATTATGACATCGTTGACATATGAGCAGTAATTGGGGTTTGGGGGTGTTCGGGGTCTAAAGCCTGGTCATGTTTGTGGTTGTGAGTAGAGGGCGCTCTCCTCCAATAGCGTGCCCTGATTTCTGTCCCGTCCACCGCTGGTCGGTAACCCTCCTCCAATAGCGCGCCCTGATTTCTGTCCTGTCCGCTGCTGGTCGGTAACCCTCCTCCAATAGCGCGCTCTGATATCTGTCCTGACCGCCGCAGGTCGGTAACCCTCCTCCAATAGCGCGCCCTGATTTCTGTCCTGTCCGCCGCAGGTCGGTAACCCTCCTCCAATAGCGCGCCCTGATTTCTGTCCTGACCGCCGCTGGTCGGTGACCCTCCAGCTTATTAGCTTTTAATTTGCACCTGGAGGCCGGCCTTCTCCCCCTAGTGAGGAATGTGCCATGAAAGAAGAGTGGGGGCTTGAGGGGGGCACCTCCTGCAGGAGGTCTGCCATGCAGGCGTAACACCCCCCTAATTTACCACCCCTGTAGGTAATAAAAATAATAATAACAATTTTTAAAAAAGCAGGCCTCGGCCTGTCTGCCGTTAATGCTGGGCTGTGTTTTTATGCATCCTCGTTTCGTTTACTGTGTCCTGCATCTGCTCTGGTATTTCTGGGGCTGATTATTGTTGTCTGGGTCTCTGTGGGAGGGCCGTGTTGTGACTAGGTGGGCAGGGCTCAGGGTTGGGTTGGGGGGGGGGGTCCCGATCCCATTGCAATTGACCGTGCGGTTCGCCACACAGGAGCTGACCTGCCGGGAGGAGCTGCTCACACTGTTGCTGTCCCTGCTGCCGCTGGTCTGGAAGATTCCCGTGCAGGAGGACAAAGCCGGAGGTAAACGCCGGCCACAGCTCCACATGGCACATGCCTCATAAACACCCCACGGGGGCCTGAAAACTCGCCTCGGCCTTGGCCTTCAGGCCGGGCATTCCGTGAGTTTGCTGTCATTGCATGCAAGTCTCAGAAAACTTGTATCTCAGTTTCTTTACTACTTTAGTTTGTTTCCCCCACGCTCTCTCTCCCCCTCCCTGTTTCTCACATCTATAATTCAGCTATATCCGTTTCCTGGGTTACTTATTACATTTGTATTTTAATGGGATTCCTCAGTATTCGATAAACAGTATATGGGGACTCGCGTGTCAATCTATGAAGTCACAGCCCTGGCAGCAATTTCCCTGTGAAGGTTTCACCCCGATAATGATTTTGAAATCCTTTTGCTTTTAAACTTCTAAAACCAAAAACCGAAATCTGTGGCGGGGTTTCGTCATCAGCCTGCCAGACCTTAGCCGTTGTTCTTGCTCCATAGACTGTAGCTGTGGTTCTGTTTAAGCTCTCTACCACTGTGAGGTATAAAGAAGCAGAGGACCCTGTTTTGTGACACCTGTGCCATCCTGTGACGTTTGAATGCTTTAGGTAATATTTGTCTTTCACTGACTGTGTAAATCAGCTTCTCAATTGGCCGCTGTCTCCAGAAACCTCTTTATTAGGAGAACACTGGTGTGTAGTTATCACAAGAGGCTGGGAAATGGGTGTTTTTTGGACGAAGGTATGAAAGTTAATTGCAGTCTGTAGTAGAAGTGTGTGTGTGTGTGTGTGTGTGTGTTTAATGCCATGTGTCAGCACGGTGTAAATTCTGTGCCCGGTGGTTTGGTATGATAAAGATCCCCCCCCCACACTCCACCATGTATGTCACACAGCACAGTGGCTACGTGAGGTAATTGCAGCGGAGACGACTGAGGCTTTTAGCGCGCACATGATAATCTGTCCTGACAGAGGACTCACACATTTTTTACCTTATTAGTTCTGTGTATCGCCGCAGTGTTCAGCTGAGGTGCAGATCCTGGAGGACTGTCTGCGAGATGCAGGGGGCTGAAGTAGTAGAACAGAGCTTAATTTTAAGTTGTTTTTAATTTTTCACAAAATAACCTTAAATAGATCTTTGTTTTAATTTAGCCGCTGTAGCAGAATAACAGGTTCATCTGATCTTTAAGGGCCTTTCACCCTGGAGCCCTCAGTCTCACTTGCTGTGGTTGTTGTGCTTTTTGCTCTGAATAGTGTTTGTGTGTTTCAGATTTCTCACTCCCGCTGCTGCCCGACATCGTTGCAGTCCGAGACGGAGCAGCCATCCCCACGAGACCGGGGCAGGAGAGGGGCGGAACAGAGAAGCGGCCGGCCGTGGACTGCAAGTCACGGCGGCAGCGGCGCACGGCCCAGCGCTACTCCGTGAGGGATGCGCGCAAGTCACAGCTCTCCACTTCCGACTCAGACGCCAACTCGGACGACAAGGCCGCTGGCCTGGGCGGGAGATATCGTCGGTCACACGGCCCATCTCTGTTGGCCAGCTGCCAGCTCCACCCGTTGGACCCCCCTGGGCGACCACTGTCACCTCCGTTGGCCCCTCCTACCGCAGATACCATGAACAGCATCGAAGTCGGCGGTGAGTTGGTCCCGCGGCTCTTCGGAGTCCGGCCAGTGGACCCGGAGCCACTGAGTGAACCCACAGCACTGTCCATCTTCAACCGCATGGAGAACTCGCCCTTCGACCTCTGCCATGTGCTGCTGTCTCTGCTGGAGAAGGTGTGCAGGTTTGACATGAGCCTCAACCACAGTCCTGCACTGGCCGCCAGCGTGGTTCCCACTCTCTCAGAGATCCTGGCCGAGTTCGGAGACTGCTGCGGTCCCGGTGGGGTCAGGGGTGGGGCCGAGGATCTGGCTGAGGGCTGGACCGAGGAACCAGTTGCCCTGGTCCAGAGGATGCTCCTCCGCACCATCCTGCACTTGATGTCTGTGGATGTGGGCCAGGGCGAGACCCTGCCAGACAGCCTGCGGCGGAACCTGACTGACCTGTTGCGAGCTACGCTGAAGATCCGCGGCTGCCTGGAGAAGCAGGCCGACCCCTTCGCCCCGCGGCCCAAGAAGACCCTGCTGGAGGTGCGAGAGGACTTCTCCTTCTCCCGCTACCGGCACAGGGTTCTGCTGCTTCCAGAGCTGCTGGAGGGAGTGCTGCAGGTGCTGCTGGGTTGCCTACAGGCCTCCGCCCCCAACCCGTTCTTCCTGAGCCAGGCCATGGAGCTGGTGCACGAATTTGTGCAGCACCGTGGCCTGGAGCTGTTTGAGGCCGCCGTGCTGCAATTGGAGGCCCTGCGTGGACGGGACGACACGCCGGGCAGTGCGGAGGCGGCGGCACGGGCACGCCAGCTGGTCGGCGGTGTCATGCGTATCATCAGCGCTGTCAAGAAGGCCAAGTCCGAGCAGCTGCACCAGTCGGTCTGCGCCCGGCGGCGGCACCGCCGCTGTGAGTACTCGCATTTCCTGCACCACCACCGCGACCTTTCAGGGCTGCCTGTTTCTGCCTTCAAGCAGGCAGCGCGCCGCAATCCCTTTGAGGAGGAGCCGGGGGCCGCTGAGGTGCACTACCCCGACCACTGCTGCTGCGTGGCGGCATGCGCCCACCAGTGCCTGCGCCTCCTGCAGCACCTCCCTGCCTCGGCCACCACCTGCCTGCAGGTCCTCTCCGCAGTGCAGGCGGTGGGCATCTGCTGCTGCATGGACCCGCATTCGGTGGTGACACCCCTGCTGCACGCCTTCCAGGTGCCCGAGCTGCGTGGACACCAGTCTCACATTCTCACCATCCTCAGCCGGCTGCTGCTGGAGCAGTTGGGGGGCGGTCGGCCCCTGGAGAGGACCAGGCTGGCCTCCTGCAATATCTGCACGGTGGATGGCAGCCAGCTGCCGGGCCCAGAGGAGCCCGCCGGGCTTTCCCTGAGCCCCTCATATCGCTCCCAGGGCATCCTACCCAGCGGTGGTCCCGAAGATGTCCTGTGGAAGTGGGAGGCCCTAGAGGCCTACCGGGACTTGGCCTTCGGTGAGGATCGGGCGCGGAACTTTCTGGTGGCGGGGCACGTGTGCCAGCTGCTGCTCCGAGGCAATGCGGCCGTGCAGTGGCAGCTCTATGCCCATGTCCTCGGCCCCGCCCTGCAGCGGGGGGTGGAGCTGGCCCGGCATGCCCGCGAGCTCGGGGTCTCCTCAGCCTGCTCCCAAGCCTGCGCCTACCACAGCCACTGCCTGCCCGTCGAAGTGCTGCTCGTGTACCTGCAGACGCTGCCCGTGCTGCTCAAGTCCAGGTGAGCCCCATTCCTTTCCCTTCCCACGAAGAACTGATCCCAGTACAGTACGGTCTACTGTGGCAGGTCCCGTCGATAGGCGGCCAGCTCTCTGCCTGATTACGTTTCCTTTCCCTTTAAGTGGCGTGAGTAGGATGCTTGTTCATTTTCTCCTGGGGTCCATGTAGTTTTGTCCTTGCATTCTTTATGGCACAAGCATTCCATTAGATGCAGTTTGTCTAGAAATCTGACTCTTTTCTTTTCTTAGGTTTTTTTTTGTTTCATTTTTTAGCTTGTGTGTGCTTCCACAAGGACTGAGAGAGATGCGCTTATTGTTCATTTGGGTGTACATCAGCTGAATTAAGTCAGGCTTCCGCCTAAGACTGACTAGGTAATCACACAGTTAAGGTAATCTGCCTGTTGGTTTTGTTATCTCTGTGCATCATGATTTATTTAAGTCTGTGTTGCATTACCTGCGATGGGGTGGCACTCTGTCCTGGGTTGTTCCCTGCCTTGTGCCCATAACTTCCAGGACAGGCTCCTGACTCCCACATCCCTGCATAGGACAAGCCGGTATAGAAGATGGATTGAGGGGTGTGTTACCTTAGTGTTGTAATAGTCAGTCGGGCTGTTACATTCCTGAATGTAAATTGGAAGCATGTTTTCCTGCTTGCTTTGGGCATGTGGATTAACTCCAAGCAGTAAATATGATAACTGGATGGGTGTGGTGCCCCAGCCCCTTTCAGTCTATAATCTTTGAGCGTTGTGTCACATTGTAATGCTTAGTTCGTACCACTGAATTGGTTTGCAGTCAGACCTACACCGTGTTCCAAATTATTGTGCAAATGATATTTTTCTCTGATTTTCCTAAATAGTCGATGCAAATGACAGTCAGCATAATTTTCGAGTCATCAACCATTAGGGTATAATTTGAATGTTACTGAACAAACCTCCCAATGATAACAGTATGTTTTTCAAAAATAAAAAAACTTAAAATGCACCGTTCCAAATTATTACGCACAACAGCGTTTCAAAACATTTTATAGGTTGTAAAGAACTGAAAATGGTCATTTGTTGAATTTGCAGCATTAGGAGGTCATATTTACTGAGATCAAAAGCTATTACAATCTAAAGGTCAAGTTACATTTTAACATAGGACCCCTTATTTGATAGCAGCTTCACAATTCTTGCATCCATTGAACTCGTGAGTTTTTGGAGAGTTTCTGCTTGAATGTCTTTGCAGGATGTCAGAATAGCCTCCCAGAGCTGCTGTTTGGATGTAAACTGCCTCCCCCCCTCATAGCTCTTCTTTTTGTACCATGGAAGAAGGTGGTCAGTCAGAAACTTTTCAGAGGTAATTGTCACAGGGGCCCTAAAGGGGCCGACCAGCTCTCTCCCCATGATTCCGGCCCAAAACATGACTCCGCCTCCACCTTGCTGACGTCGCAGCCTTGTTGGGACATGGTGGCCGTCCACCAACCATCCACCACTCCATCCATCTGGACCATCCAGGGTTGCATGGCACTCATCAGTCTTCATGTAGTTCTGGGCCCACCGCTGCCCTTTCTGCTGGCTGGCGGCCGAATAGAAGGGTTACGCATAACTGCAGGCCTTTGGAGGATCTTACACCTTGACGTTTGTGGGACTCCAGAGGCACCAGCAGCTTGAAATACCCGTTTGCTGCTTGGTAATGTAGCTGCTCTCTTAATCCGATGTATTTGTCTTGCAGAAACCTTCATTGTGCCTTTATCTGCTGGAACCTGGGTGTCTCTGACTCAGCCACAAATCTCTTAACAGTACGATGATCACGCTTAAGTATTTCGTGAAATATCTAAGGTTTTCATACCTTATCCAAAGCATTCAACTATTTCACGCTTCTTTCCCATATTGCTTGGAAATGGTGGTCTGCTTAATAATGTGGAACGCCCTATTTCAGTAGTTTTTTCCTTTAATTGGGCTCACTTGGCAAACTAATTATCACAGGTGTCCGAGATTGATTTCAGTGATCCAAAGAGCCCTGAGACACAATACCATCCATGAATTTAATTGAAAAACAAAATATTTAATCTTTATGACACTTAAATACAATTTGCATAATAATTTGGAACGTGGTGTAATGCCTGCCTGGTATTTGCACGTATAGTGCATAGCCATTAGCGCTCAGTTCAGCTTTTTATGCTGGTCTTACAGTATCCCTGTTGTCACATCGCAGTGGGACTTGTGGTTCTAGTCTATGCTGCCGGAGGACAGTTTGTGGCCAGAAAAACTCCCACGGGTCCTGCCCACATAGGAACGCCTTATGTAACACGCATCGCCACATAAATCGTGAGGTGTCGCACAGAAAAGGTGTCAGCCGTGCGCGACATTTTTTTTTTCATTTTAAATGTCACTTTGACAAGCACCTGTGAAGTTTTCTATTTCACCTACATTTTAACACTTCGGGAGCCGTGATTTGGGGTTAATTGTAGGCGCTTTGACACAGCAGGAACCTTTTTTCAGAACCAGGGCCCCATTGTAGTTCCTCAGAGGCAGTTCCGGAACCCTTTAGTCTCTACTTATTTTCTACCTCAGTTACATTTAATGCATCAATTATATTTTTTTGCTTGCGTATTCATATTTCTGAATCAGAAAATTTGATCAATAACCAATTTACTTTTGTCTAATATTGCTGGTGATGAAACTTGCCAGCGCTTATTAGGGGGAAAACGTTACATTGTTTTTTTTTTTATTCTGTGGAAAACGAAAAATTGATCTGCCAGCAAGATCTAATATTGAATCATAAACATGTCACAGGTCATATAAAAAATATAAATAAAAGGCTGTGTACCATTTTGATTGTGATCAATACCCCTAATAACTAACTAAAGAAATTTATCCTCCATTGTATTGGGGTGCCGGTGTAGTTTCCTATGAAATTATGTGTAAAGTTAAACTTTTGAGCTTTTTGCATCTCCCATGCTTATATGACGTAAAGGTTGCAGTTCTTTTTGTGTGGTGTGAAAGTATCCAGGAGCTGCAAAAGTTCCAAGACGAGATCAGCCCAGAAACTTGTAACCAGGGACCAGGTTCCAGAACTTTGGTGTGAAAGGTCCTTGTGTGTTATGGTGTGTTCGATTATCTCTCCAAAGTCGTAAATTCCAAGGTCCGTGACGTCACGTCCGACCAATCTCCCGTTCGAGCTACCACATCCCGGAACAAACATGGCTGCCTCCATGAACACGCTGTTGTGTGTTGTTGCTTTTTATATTCAGATTTGGAGTGAGATTCTTTTTTGCAAGAGACAAAGAACTAGTCAAAACACATTAAACGCTTTATAATATTTTAGTAGATCCATAGCGATATTCTTTTTTTGAGAGGCAAACAAACTACAAAGATACTAACAAGTCTGGTAAAAATCTGATCTTGCATGCTAGGATACTGTTTATGGTCATGATACGGTGTTCTCTAAATCGAACACATGCAATTACATTTATAATTATTAATACATTTAACAAAATAAACATTTTGAATATTTATAAAATAGAATTGCTGTTGACTGTGTAAGCCGCCATGTTGAAATGACGTCACAGGGGAAACACGGGTAACAAAATTCTGTCCGAGATCAACATCGGAAAGGAGGCGTTTTTCATAAGGTTTTTTTCCCGAGTTCCAACTCTTTGAGAGATAATCGAACGCAGGATAAGCTTTGAATGCTAATGTTTAACGTGTGCTGTCCCTCTCATTGGTGCTGTGGTCTTCAGGGTAATCCGGGACTTGTTCTTGAGCTGCAACGGGCTGAACCAGGTGACAGAGCTGATCTGGCTGGACTCGACACGCCCGTCTGCACTCAAGGTGCTAGAGACACTAATCCTGACTGTGGGTGAGCAGCAGGCCGACGGCTTGATGGAGGGGCCAGACGGCCGGGAGACGGAGGGGCCAGTGGATGCGGCTGGGCCTCCTGAGGGACCCTGGGGACAAATCGGAGATGGGCCACAGAGCCTCAGGCAGTTCTATGAGGGCCTGCGGGAGGCCTGCCCCCCCAGGCGGAGGAGCAAGGGCGGAGGAGGGCGGGGCCGGACCGAGTCCCTCCTGGCTTCTGTCAATCTCTTCCTGTGTGTGGCCTTTCTCTGTGTCAGCAAGGATGCAGATTCTGATCGGGACTCCACCAATGACTCTGAGGACACGTCCGGCTATGACAGCACGGCTAGCGAGCCCCTGGGGGGGCGGCTCCCCTGCCTGTCGGCCGACACCATGACCCTCCCCCCCCAGGAGCACATGCGACGCGCCGCCGACGTGTGGATGGCGTGCCGCCGCGTTTACCTTGCGAGCCCCACTTTCCAGCGGCAGTTCTGCCGGCTGGGCGGCCTGGAGGCCTGCCGCAAACTGCTGGCCATGGTGACCCAGAAGCTCAGTCCCAAAGGCCGGGACAGCCGAGCCAGGAAATCGTGTCAGGACGAGGCCGGCCGAACACCGCAGGACATGCATTTCCAGGTTTCCCCGGAGCCTGCGCCCCAGGGTCCCTCCGATCCCCCTGGATTTGCAAAAGACGCTGCCCGGAAAACCGAGGACGAGTGGCCACTGCACTGCATCCGGCTTCTGGAGGCCCTGCTGGCCATCTGCCTGCACAGTGCTAGCTCAGCACTGCAGCGCCTGGAGCCAGATCTGCCCTTCCAGGTACCGCATCCGTTCCCACGGAAACCCCGTTCCCTACCTCGCTTCACCTCCCATGCCGATAAAGGGGACTTTCTGCACCTGAAATGGGTCTGTTTAATCCAGCTAGATGGCATTCTCCAAGGCAGGTGTGAGGCAGCTGCGGTGTCACTGTGTAAACCAATGTGTCGCTTGTATGTGAAATGATCTCCCCTCCCCCCTCCCAGACAGTGGAGGAAACACTGGCGCAGATGAGGGGCCAGCTGTCGCGCTCAGGCTTGGTCGGTTCTGATCTTGCCATCCCACTATTCAACGCCCTGCTCCACGTGGCCCAGGCGCAGGTCTGCGGTGGCCCCGACGCACCTGAGGAGAAGGCGGAGAGGGTAAGGTGCCCCCCCCCCCCCCCCATTTAAACCTACTCGTTTCAGTCATGCAGGTGCTCCCCAACTTACAATGGGGTTATGTTTCGATGATCTAGAAATAAATAAGTAAATAAAACTACTGTCACTGAATAAGTAAATAATTAAGTACTGTTTCTAACTGAATACCAGTAATTGAAAAGTAAATTAATGCAAATTCAATTGGTTGAATACAGAAAAAAATTGTTACATTTCTATACACTGAATGAAATGTTTATGCTCGCAAAGGCTACAGAGAGCAGAAGTGTGGGTGCTGCCATTGCCCGGCTTCATTAGACGGTATTATACGGCATATCCGCAGCCTGGGAACTGATCACAGTTCAAAGTGTGATGACTGCTGAAAGTGCATCGTTGTCGCGTCATCCTAAAGTCGAAATATCAGAAGCTGAACCATCGCGAAGCGATGAGCATCTGTCTATATATACATGATTTTGCCCATGTGTATAGCTGCGTGTCCAAGGCTCCGTGCTGCTCTCCCAGTCCCATTTGAACCTCCTTGCCCCCCCGTCGTGGGGCTTGTTAGCCTCCCCTTTGCAGCAAAGCCCTGCAGTCAGTACCCAAGCCTGTGGAGCGTGGATTCTGGCCTTTGTTGGCCTGTCTTATCCGCCTCCATGGCTTGATTATCAGTGTCAAAGGCTGCTTTTGTTTTTAATTAATCTGCTCCCCCGTGCCGTTCCGTGGGCCGCTGATCCCTCTGTCTCCCCAGCAGGCTGTTTCGTCTGCATTTACGCAACGGCTTTAGCCCTCTTTTGGCCCCGCCCCTTTATAGGAACTCGTGGGGGGGGGTGGCGGGGTTGGTTCTGTTTCACAAGGCAGGCATAGGCGCTGGGTACAGCGAACGATCTGGGATGAAGACACCGGAGGAGGTGTTTAATTGGGGGGTGAAAAAAGCGGGTTTAACCCCTGGTGGTGTGAGATTTGGGAATCTGTGCTCTTAAACTGACCCCACCATCCTCAGCAGACCTCAGTGAAGCTCTTTGGACCTCGGAGCGCTACGGCACACCCTTCTGTACCACTCTTCAGCTGTGACTGGTCTCATGACCTGGAAATTGACTGTTTCAGTTTGCTCCTTTGGGGGAAGAGGAAAAGCAGCACAGCAGCTTCGCTAATCGTAAATGGACTTTGTGTTCTCCTGTTATTTTTATGGTGATGGAAAACCAAGAATCTAGCATGGTGGTTTTCTGTGTGGAGTAAGAGCTGGGGGCTCTATAGGCCAGGGTTCTGATCGGCACTGGTCACAGAACAGCAGATTTCAGGCGCCCAAGTGACACTTTGGGTCAGCCGTCACCAGCTTGTTGGATCTGTAAACAGTTGGTCAGTCTGGACCTGCTGGATGCGGCACTCTGCCTGCTGCGATCACTAACTGTGGGAATTACAGGAGATCTTGGCACCGCTGACGTGTAGTTGGAAAGGGGAAGATAGTGGAAAGTCGACAGTCTTGCTCACTTGGTCTTATTCCTGCTATCTAACTTACTTGTGGCTTGGGTGTAACAAAACCGGTTTGCCGTTCTCTCTGGATGGGTGCCGCCGTACTAAAACCCAGCCCTCGTTCCACTGCAGAAGCATCAGTCTGGCTTAGAGGCATCGCTGCCCGCGGAGGACGTCTCGGAGGACGTTGACGAGCCCCCAGGCTGTGACATCCGGCCCCCCGGGGAAGAGGAAGGCTACGAGGCAGACAGTGAGGACAACCCAGAGGACGCCAGCGACCAGGAAGAAGGTACGGGGTGCCAGGGAGGTAGTGGATTCGCCCCCATGCCGCGCGATGCATAGGCGCAGATCCTGGCAGGTGATCGATATCCCCAGAGTGACAGCAGCGTCTCCCAATGAGGCAGTCCAACTCGAAAGCTATCGGTCTCACGCCAGTTTGGTTGAAGCTTTATTCTTAACATGCAAGCTCAGTTAGGTTACAGTTTAAGGCCGAAGCCCCTTAAGTCGATGCCCGTAAATTTGATTGGGAAACTGGAAATAAGCAGATCCGCTGCGATTTGAGGAAAGGATTATCTCCTCAGCTGAAGAGCAAAAAGCACTGGCTCACCTTCCTTTAGCCGTGGTCAGGTCTGATTGGATCTACTAGACTGTTTTACTGCACCGCTGGAAGCGTGGAGTCAATACCAAGACACAGCGAGGTGGTAGATGGAACAAGCTGTTCAGGGGAGCATCTGTGAGGATTTCAGAAGTCATTAGTACTGCAGTGCATTCCAACTCCAAGCCCGCCCAGAAGAAGGCCAAAACCTCTGATTTCCTACCTCCTATCTCGCCTCCACCAACCGTGCTGTTTGCGGCGTACAGCAAATAACCTCCATGCCTCCGCTTCACACTTCTTCAACGGAAACTAGGAGATTAGATTAATCTGTTGCTGGGAGTGTTGCAACTGCAGTTTAAAGTTTTCTTATGTGGCTTAAAAATTTCAATGCTGAGAACCCGTTTTAGCTTGGAATAAGGTGGCTATGCATGTTTTTGGGATTCTAGACTACAAAGGTGATTTGAGATTTTTAAATGGTAGCATCTGAAAGTAGTAATGGCGCTTTTCCACTGCCAGCAAGAACTGCACTGTGCACAAGCCACACTGCGACCTGCAGTTTTCCATTGTAAAGAATGCAGGCCGGACCCGAGCCGTAACTGCGCTGACATGGCCCTGTTAACTAGCGGGGATGAAAGCGCGACCAAACCCAGCTGGTTGCATCACCACCACCCGATTGGTCGAAATGTATGGAGATACGGGGGGCTGGATTATCTAAAGAAAAAACCTATTCTATATATTATTCATTATTAGTAGTATCGCACATTGCAGTGTATTGATGCACTTGGAACCTCCTGCTTAAAAAGGGACTATAGAACTGTGCTGTAGCTAGTCTTGGCAGTGTGGCTTGGGTACAGCTCAGTTCCTGTATGCCAGTGGAAAAGCGCCATCACTGTTGGTCATTTAAATTTTAGTGGCACCTTTTTCTGTTGTTTAGCATATCTGTCCGTTACAGTGATGTAGGGGGGAGGGGCTTAGGATCGTCCAGTTACCGCTGGCCAAAATACTTTAACAGGTTGCACTTATTTGCTGAAATTTTTGAAAGGTAAACAGAGCAGGTTGGGTGCAGCGAATTCAGCCATACTGGAAGCAGCATTGCGCCGTGGCGTTAATTGAAAAGCCACCCAGAAGGGGAGATGTGCTAAGGAGGGAGGAATGTGGAGCCCCCCTCTCCCACATCCTCAGAGCTGGGGCAGTTTTCATGTCCACAGCTCAGTGTTTCCCGATCCGGTCCTCAGGGACCCACAGGCGTTCCGTGCTTTTGCTCCCTCCCAGCTCCCTGCCAGACAGTCCATGTTTTTGCTCCCTCCCAGCTCCCTGCCAGACAGTCCACAGTAAAAACGTGGACTGTCTGCGGGTCCCTGAGGACCGGATTGGGAAGCACTGCCGTAGCCCACAGGCATCTGGTCCATGCAAAGTCCTGTTTGGGCTCTCTGGCAATGGCAAGAACACCTTCACACACCACTGGAATATGTCTGCATATGCTTCATTTGACACAGCACTGCCTCTGGAGGCTCCAGTCCAGTGGAGAAATGGGTAAAATAAGCAAGCTTCATGCAGTCAGTCTCATTCATCTGTTACTGCTTTGACTGCATCTCAGTCACCCAGAATAATCATCTCAGGATCTGGGAGCTCCTAGTACTTTTTGCTCTTATAGCTGGAGTCTGTTTGCTTCTCTTTCATTGGCTGTTGCTTTTTTCCCCCTCTTCTTTTGTACAGGATCATATAAATTGCTTGGGATAAAAAGATTCGGTGAGATTAAATGTAGCCACATTTTCTTCTGACTGATCAAGCAGTCTGTAGAGCTAAGCTAAATCCAGTTTTGCTGTCTGGTAGTAGCGGTTGGGGGTGTCTGCAGTCGATGTGTGTGATCGATTGGCCGGGGGTCACCTGACCTGTGTTATGTGCCTGAATGGTGTCATTCGTCCGTCTGTCCCCGGGCAGAGGCGAGAATGGAGCTGTCCGGCCTGGGAGAGGACGGTCAGGGGCTGGCGGCGGCCATGGCAGCGGTGGAGGGGTGGGCGGGGCGCGGCGCCCTGCTCTTCCCCGAGGTCTGCGCTATGGAGCTGCTGCTGCTCTCTGCCGGCTCCCCGGAACTGGAGGTGCTCAGGCACGTGCTCCGGGGCCTGCTGGGAGCTGTCCGCAGTCACCCCCGCAATGCCGCGCTGCTCTACCAGCAGGTCAGGATTGCCACATCCACCTCCTACCCCTCCCACTACTTAAGTTCTCTTCCTTTCTCTGGTTTTATTGTACTTTCTGTTGGTAAAAAACACCTTACTTGACCCTTACTCCTTTTTACATCCTCTTGCGCCCCCTACTGTCTTTATTTTATCTTGCAGCATTGATTCCAGTATGTAAGACCACTACTGTTGTGCTGTCTCCCTTTCATTATTTTTTTTTTGTTGTTTTTTATTTTTGCTTAATTATGTGGGGGTCATGTAGGAGGTCACTTGGGGTTCAGTGTCAGATCGATGTGTCATAGACCAGCTCAGTGATTTAGTCTCCGGTGGCCTCTAGGAGACCTTTAACCTGTATCCTCTGTAGTGAGGTGTTGTGTATGCTTTCTGAAGACCTGACCCCCCCCCCCCCCTTCAACAGGGTGCAGTGAAAACTATCCTGGGGGGGTTCCAGAATGTCTTGAACCAGACGGACCATTCTTCCAAGGGTACGTGTTCTCAGCCTCCAGCATTGTTGGTGGTTCTACACATAGTTTAGACCAGGGGTGTCAAATTCCAGTCCTGGGGGGCCGGAGCCTGGTGTAACTTAGTTCTTTCCTATTCTACCACAAACGATTCAGCTCAAGAGTTGTGTGGTAATTAGCACAAGGAGTTGAATCAGGTGTGTTAAACAAGGAGAAACCAAGAACTATGCAGGGCTCTGGGCCTATAGGACTGGTGTTTGACACCCCTGGTTTAGGGTTTTTCCCATAGAAATGAATAGAGAGTTTCCAGACCCGGTCCTCAGGGACCCACTGACGTTACACGTTTTTGCTCTATCCCAACTCCCGGTAGGAACAAAAACATGGACTGTCTCCGGGTCGCATAGACCAGATTGAGAAACACTGGTTTAGACTGAAAATGATCGATGCGTCTGCCCACACTTAACCAATGTCTCCCTGTGCCGGTTGTGGATGGGAGCTGCCTGAAGACTCTGGAGTAACCAGTGGCTGGGTGTCTTTGCAGGGTGCCAGGTTCTGCTGATGGAGCTGCTGGTTGCTATGCTGAGTGAGCGCATCACGGCGGAGGAGCTCTCCATGCTGATCCGGCTCTTCTTAGAGCAGACACCCCCCACGGTAAGGGGTGCCCTCTTCAGGACACCCATGCAGAAACAAGAAAATATATTACATGAAGATCTGAAGCCTAGATATGGTTCAGTGAGGCCCTTTAATGAGGATATCTACTGACAGGCTTGACAATTTTTGTAATCAAAGGATGGTCAAGATGAGTTTTTGACGTGATGGTTTTGCACCTTTGGGATATCTTTGATTAGATCTTTGGTCCAGTAGCCGCCCCCCCCCCCAAAAAAAGGAAAAAACCTGATATAAGGTTCCTGGGAGTTTTCAGTACCAATGTGATAATGAAAGCTGGTGTGTGTCTGCTCTCACTTGACCATCAACCACAAGCCTCTTATTCCCAAGATTAGATGACAAACATCAGTCTGGATTAAAGTGGTGTGTCTTGGGAAAGTCTAATATTGCAGCTTTTAGTCAGAAAATTATAAGGGAAACCTGCAATAGTCTTTGATGTGTCTCACGATTTGGCTAATTTAACGAAGGTAGATCATTTTGAAATGGTCTCTGGCGCCTCCTCTCCCCTGCACACATTCCTGATCCCTCTCAACGGCCTGCAGGAGATCCTGCTGAGGGGAGTCCTCCAAATCGTGGAGGCCAATATGGATATGGAACCGCTGCACTACCTGTCTTTCCCGCTGGTGCCTGGTACCTCTACCACGAGTGTCGTCTCCCCTGGGCCCAAAGCCGGTGTGGCCTGGGGGGCACCGGCTAGTTCCAAGTCCATGGGGTTGTTGTGGCGGGGCAGGCTGACCCCGGGTCGACGGGAGGCAGAGGCTGACGGCCGGGCGGGTCACCAGCTCGCCTCACCCTGGCACGTGGCTCCCATCCATTTGCCACTGGTGGGGCAGAACTGCTGGCCGCATATGGCCAACGGCTTCAGCACCTCCCTGTGGCTCAGGGCCCACATTACATCCCGGGGCGAGGGCCCCCCTGAACCCGGGTATATGAAGAGGAAGCCAGGACCAGTGAGGAACAGCAGTGTGGAGAGCACAGGTACTCCGGGTCTTTCCGTTTGTCCTGCCTGCTGTTCGGCCTGATGGCTCCATCGTGCCCCCGCGGTAAAATTCACATTGCGCTATTACTGCAGAGAAATGGAAGCCATTAACACATCGCTCTAGAGTCTGTCCTCAAACTGCTCTGCCGCATCTCCTCCGTCTCCCGAAATGGCTCTAATGGCAGTTACGGCACAGCTGTTAGGCTGAGAGGCAGCACGGGGCCCCACGTGTGCTTGTCCGTTCCAGAGGAGGAGCCGTCGCTGGGGGCCGAGCGCCTCATCTCGTCTCGCTGCCTGGACCGGCTGGTGGAGCAGGGCTTCCTCCACATCATCTCGCTGGGCTCGAAGGCGCTCATGCTGCAGGTGTGGGCCGACCTCTCCACAGGTGCCGTCACCTTCAGGTGAGCGTGAGCAGGCCCAGGGCCAGCTTCTTCATTTGGTTATTGGGGATGCAGCCAGTGTTATCCCAGGGTTTATTTATTTAAATATAGGACTCGATGTCATTTGACTCCCCTAGGGTAGGGAGGATGGATGGTTGGATGGATGGATGTCATGTACAGCAAGGTATAACAGTATAAATCAGGTAGAACTAAGAATGTGGCTTCCAGATCAGTGGGGATTTACCTTCCTTTTCTCTGGCTTTCCCTGTCTTGGGTCGTCTCTCTAAGGATCTGCATGGATCCCAATGATGAGATGAAGGCTGGACTCCTGGCGCAGGCTGAATCGCCAGAGGGCCTCCTCGTGCCCGGAAAGTGGCAGCACCTGGCACTCAGCTACACCCAGCAGCCCGAGGGCAAGAAAAACATCCACGGCACGGTGACACTGTGGGTGTGCGGGGTCAGGTAGGCACTGGGGACCGCTGCCCACACTGGTGTTAATTTGTCCTGCTTTTCAGAACAGCTTCCTCTCTTGTGTTGGGCCAGGATTTAACAGGATAATTCACAATAAGTTCTTTTGCCAATTTCTCTGCTGGTATTTTTAAGGGAGTTTCGGGCCGCAACATCAGCCACTACTTGTACTGTATCTCTCTTTATTGTGGTCCATTTTAATATAAAAGAAGACGTCTTCGATTCATTTTTTTTTTCCTCTGTGTTTCTTAACTTTTAACAGCATTAAGTTCAGGGTCAGAAAATACCAATCCAGGCCAAGATTTTGCTTCAACCGACCAGTTGAGTATAAAGAGTCACATTCACAGAGTGCTCATCTGGTTGGTTGGAACAAAATTTTGGTCTGGATTTGTACTTTCTGACCCTGAACTTTTCACCTCTTGATGTTTAATATTTGTTAAAATAAGAAATGAATCTGGGGATTGAGTGTGTGTGCCGATGGCAGACGGCCGGCCAGCATGTCACCGCGTGTCACCGCGTGCTTGTGTGTCTACAGGAAGTGTGAGGTCTTCCTGGACTACATGCTGCCCCGGAAACCGGGCCTGTCCTCCGATAGCAATAAGACCTTCTGCATGCTGGGCCACTGCCTGCCGGCCCCCGAGGATGTGGCCAGGCTGGGCGGGGGCTGGGACATCGGCAGCCTGCTGCTCTTCAACGGTGAGCGTGTTGCCCCAGCTGTCACCCCTGCCACACCCACGTCCCACCCTTCCTCAGTGACGCACGTGTGCTATTCAGACTTTGATCTCCCATGGTGCCCTTCTAGAAATATCTCGATGCTCGAGTATTTTTATTACGTGACGTTTATTAATTTTTTTTTTTTTTTATGTATTTTGCATTTTTGTCTTAATTTTTCTTATCATTCTCTTGGGCATGTTTTATAAGAAGTACTAAAGGACTCGCATTATTAAAATGCTGCATTTTTGTAGACCTGCTCCTTTGAACACTCCATTTTGGGATTTCCTCCCAGAATGCAGTTCTCTATAACCACTGGCTTGGTTACCATTAGTTATTAGAGATCGAACAATATTTTTTCTGCCAGTACCGATAGCAATCCAATATTTTCTTCCTCTTTATCAACTACTAAGCATAGGAAAATAAAATGGTCATGTTACTCTAACAAAAGCTTTGCCAATATGCTACAGTAAGAAACCCACGGGCAACATGATTTACACAAGTCTGCTTCTGAGTTTTATTCAGTAACGGCTTTCACAAAAATGAACAAATATTTCTTAAAGTGCAAGAAGTGCAGTCTGTTGCCAAATCAAACCATAAAAAATCACTGCACGCCCCAACCATTTCTAGTCAAAAAGTACAAAGTACTGGAGAACAAAATATACAATGGAGCACAGATAAAACGTTTAAGTAGTAAAGTATATAAATCTGAAAATGTCTAGTTTGTGTCAATTTTACCATGTTCAAAAAAATCAGCACTAAAAACTGTACCCTGCAGTTTTGCCTTTTTTTCTTTCTTCAGTGTAAATTACAGTCACCCCTTCACTTTTGCAAGGGTTAGGGAGCGGACATCTCCGAGTGAAAACCCACCAATAATACTTGCCCCCCCCCCCCCACACACACACACACACACACCTCAACCCATAACACTCTGGTAACCTGTACAATAACATTTTAAATTAAATTGTCATTTTCTATCAAGATCTTTTAATACAATATAAAAAGCGTCTAACTTATGCCTCTGTGTGTAACTATCGCATGCCCTGGGAGCTCTACATTTTGGACTCATTTTTAATGATGCTAAATTAACGGCACTGAAAAGCTCCAAAGTTACTATGAAAATGTGAGTCCATGGTCACAAAGTCTGCCAACATGCGAGTGAGGCTACCATTTTTCAGGCTACACCTCTCTCTGATGGAAAATCGGATCGGTGTCTTACTCCCCCCATCCCCTGACATCCGATCCAGCATGTTTTTCTGGTACCAGCCTGATACCGATAATGGGTTTCGGATCGGTGCCGTCTCTGCTGGTTATCCTTTTGTGATGGCCGTGCCTTTCTTTGTCAGGCTCCCGGATCGGGCCCGAGGAGGCCTTCTACCTGTACGCCAGCGGGCCTGACCTCACCTCCATCATGCCCTGCAAGTACGGCAAGGCGCGGGTCCAGCTCTCCCGCTATGTGACCCGCGAGGGACTGCAGTGTGAGCGCGTACGCGAGCTGCTCATGAGGAACCGTCACGCGGACACAGCACCGCTCATCGTAGGTCTTGCATTGCTTTCTTTATCTAGGTCCCTGTTTCCCCCAAGTGTGAATTATTTGTGGACTTAATATGAAAGCAGATATAGGAGGCCTGCTATAATATTAATATTAATAAAAGTACATCTGTGTTGCATACATCACGTCTCTCTTTGTTGGCGCTCTTCATAGGAGAACCTAGCAGTGGTGTACACCCCCAGCTGCCCCACCCAGTACACCATCTACGAGCCGGTGATCCGCCTGAAGGGCCAGGCCAAGACTGTGGTTTCTCAGAGACCCTTCAGCACCAAGGAGGCCCAGAGCTCGGCGCTGGATGCCCAGGCCCTGGCAACGCTGCGGCCCACTGAGCCCCAGGGGCTGCAGAGCGTCCTGCACAAGATAGGAGGCGCCGGTGCTTTCGTCTTCCTCTTCGCCCGGGTATGATGGACCCCCCCCCCCCCCCCCAATCCCTTTCTCCTACATGGCTTATGTTAATGTTTTGTGCTGGAGTGGGTAATTTTATGACTGCCACTGAAAAATTAGCCTCTTGATCGCCATAGTTACATTTTATGTTTTTATATTTTACAGAGCAGTATTGTCTTGTAGCCTTGAGCGACGTACTTAATCTGAAATGCATCCGTAAATGTTGCTGTAGTAAAAATCTGTAATTGAAGGTTTACTTCCACTAACAGGCAATAAGTATTTCGCCAGAGCAATGAGGCTGTCCCGTTAAATCCTCATATACGATCATCGACGCCCACCCCCCCTACCTCTACTCATGATCTCCTCGGGCCACGTGTTAACAATGAAGGTTGTCGTAGATCTAATCTCTCCAGGCACTGTGTGCAGTGCATTGGGAAGCGTGTTGAGGCCGGTGTTGTCAGGTGGGCCGGTGTTTCTGCCACCTGTGTAGCTCTCGATGATGCACAGCACTCCGGTATGAATTTGTGGCCAGTGTTCCGTAAACAGTCGCTTTCATTATCCTTAACCTTCTCTTTTAGGAGATGGGAAACGTAGTGTCCTCTGCTCAAGTCGGTCTGTCGTGGGGCATTTTCGTATCTTTTCCCAACGCTTTGTCTCCCCCATAAAGACTGAGCTTTGATTTGTGTATACTAGACAGTCTCATTACCTTCATTCAGATCAATTTAAGAAGCATCACTGGTATGACAAACGCTTTGCAGATATAAAAACATGACACATGGATTAAATGGGATGTAACATGGATAATGCCCCCATCACCAGGTTGTGGAGCTCAGTGACTGTGAGAGAACCCAGGCCCTGGTCCTACAGGTGCTGCTCTCATTGGTCAAGTACAACCAGCACCGCCTTCATGAGATGGAAAACTGCCACGGATACGCTATGATCCACCAGGTTCTCATCAAGTCCAAGTGCATCGTGGGATACCACATCCTAAAGGTCAGCCCTAGGTGTCATAGGCTTGTTGGGGATAGTACCCTCGGCCATATTGAAGTGTTTCTTCTTTATTTAGCTGGATGATATCTGAGGATCATCAATTCTGCTGTGACCTTTGACCTTGCAGTCATTATGTAGTAAGAAGAGTTGATTGCATTACCTGCTGAATGTTGACCTTTGCCTGGTTCTCAGACCCTTCTTGATGGCTGCTGCAGCGGGCCAGTTTTGATTTTGGGTGAGGATGGCCAATTTCGGCTGGACACGGAGTCCACCGCTGTGGTCCAGGACCTCACGCTGATGTCTGAAGTGCTCCTTGACTGGAAAATCTGGTCCAAGGCTCAGGTAGGCTGGTTCATGGAGATAACGTTCTGAACAGCAGTCCTGAGGCCTGAGAAGGTGTCTGAAGGAATTTCAAGATAAAACGCTTTGGCCATGCATTGCATTGGCGCCCCCTACAGACTTTTCTGGTGTTATCAGAAAATGCTAGTCGCCAGATTGATAGGCACTGGGGAAAATCAATGGGGATATGGAACCTGTAAAGAACTTTAGTAGAGGTAATGGGGGGGCTGTGAAAGTTGTACTCTTGATAAAAGCATGTTTAAGAAGGTTGTGTGTGCAACCCAGCCTCCTGTCATCATGTCCCTGGTGAAGTGCTCCGTGCTCCATTCTCAGAGGGCCTCAGGAAAGATGATATTGGGGGGGGGGGGTCAGCATCTCGTGATCTGGTTCTTTTCATCCCTCCGAGTAGCTGAGGGTGGCTGAGAGTGCGGCGCATCGCTCTGGAGTCGCTTGCAGAAGTGGGGCTTTGATCTCTGCTTTCAGGCCCGCGGAGGGCTTGGTATATGTAGTGTGGAATATTGACGGTGCCCCCGCCTGCCTATCCTACCCCCCCTGCAGTGTGGCGTGTGGGAGACCCTGCTGGCGGCACTGGAAATCCTGATCCGGGTTCACCACCCTCAGCAGATGTTTAACATCTGCCAGCTACTCAACGCCCAGGTGGTGCACCGCTTCCTGCTCACCTGCCAGGTGCTTCAGGTAGGTTAGGGTTAGGGTTAGGTTTAGTTAGGGTCCGTGTGTGTTTGTTTGGGCCTGCCCCCCCTGTCCCCTCTGATCCCCTTACTCTCTCTCATCCCCTCCTCAAAAGGAGCACAAGGATGAGCATCTAACCTCCATGCCCCAGGACGTCTGCCTGTCCTTTGTGAAGATCATCCAGGAGGTGCTGGGTTCTCCACCAGACCTGGAGCTTCTGCGGCTCATCTACAGCTTCCTGCTGGCTGTCCACCCCCCCACCAACACCTACGCCTGCCACACACCCCCCAGCTTCTACTTCTCCCTGCACGTTGGTGAGTGCCCCCGTCCTCTTCGATTCAACCTCTCAGACCTGTCCCTCTTCTATGAACGGCCTTAATTTTTAATGAAATTCGACTGTTGTCTACATCACATGTGACAGTATGTGATGTAGTATTGTTTGATGAATTTTGAGTCGTCCCGATGCATGTTTCCGAACGTGCCCCAGTGTCTTGGCCCAACGATTCCCCCATCCTGGTTTTCCCTAGAGGGAAAGCTCTACAACGAGAAGGTGCAGTCCATCATATTCCTTCGCTATTCCGGAAGCAGCGGCAGATCTGCGGCCAGCTCTGTCCTGTCTCTGTCGCCAACACCATTCCTGGAGGTACCTCCGGAAGGTACTGAAATCCAAACTCTGCACTCCCCCCAGGACCCAGTGATCTTGATAGAAACCCTGTTTGCATTTCCTGTGTTTCTTCCAGTCAGCCCCTTAATTAATGAGCCTTGATTGGCCTCAAATTTCTCGTCTTTGTTGTTTACTCATTTACCCACGACAAATCCTCATTATGTGGTACACACCTAAATTTATGCAAAGAACAAATTTTTAATTGCTTTATTTTGTGCATCCCGACAATATCATGAAGTCATATTTACCTTAATTAGGATTAATAGATATTTATTTACTAGGTTTTGGCTTGTTGTTAAAACGAAATTTGGGCTGCAATTCAGGCTTTAATTCTAATATAGTCTGATCTTTTCTGCTTGTGGTTGGGCAGATCACATGGCCCCGCCCTCCCCAGGGCAGGAGAATGAGCTACACCCGCCACGGCCCCCCAGCCTGACCGTGTCCCCACGTTGCTCCTCCCCGTTGCTGGAGCGCAACGGTGTCTCCCTGTCATCGCAGCAGACCCAGAGCAGCACGGAGACAGTACGACAGGGCGCAGAGGGCGGGCCTGGGGGCGAGGGGCTTCTCAGCAGCTGCGAGTCGGCCCGCACACTCTGCAACTCGCAGGAGGCCCTGTCGGTGGCCGCAGAGGGCGAGGCGGAGCTGGAGGAGCGTGAGGAGGGGCTGCAGAGGCCCGACAGCCTGCGGGGGATCCAGCCCTTCCAGAGAAGCCAGAGCAATTTGGCCAGCCTGGGTCTGGCCTTCCCTGCCCAGAATGGCGGCCTAGCGGCCGGGCGCTGGCCCAGCCTGGCTGACCGCAATGCCCTCCCCGAGGACTGGGAGAGTTACACCTTCTCCCCCGGGTACGAGAGGACGTTCAGCAAGGCTGACTCCACCTCCGATAGGTGAGGCCCACCCTCTCCCTGGCACATGCAGTTTATAACCAAAGTACGCTTGTAATTATGGTTACTGCATATTTAGTGCAACAAATTTGATTGTGTTTTCTGTCACTTTAAAGCAACTTTGGTGGCTCGTTAATTTTTTTTAACTGAAACCTTAATGGGCCTTTATGTTCATTAATATAAAAGAACAAGAGAAATACTGGAGGATTTCAGCACTCCGGTTAAAGTCAGAGCCGCATTAAGGAGATGGAAAGCAGATGGGAAGATGAAGTGGGTGTTGTTGTTTTCTGCCTCTGGCTTTGTTTTGCATAAAAGCTATTTGCGAATCGCGCCCGTGAAAACGAGGCTGATGAATCGAGCCGTGCTTCCCGTCTCCAGCTTCTGCCAGATGTCTAAAAAGACTCACAGCTTCCTGATATGCTTGTGAAAATGAGACGTTTCCAGAAGCGTTTAAATGCCTCCGTATTTTCCAGAGTCGCCATTTCATGGTAAAAATATGTCAGCCTGGCCCAGATGCATTTGGGAAGCTCCACTTTCTCTCCATTGCTGTAGGTCATGCCCTCTACTGGACATCCCGTGCTTTACAGTCGGTCCTGTAAACTGTTTAGTAGAGTCATCGAGCGAGCGAGGACTCAGGTGTTTGCGTCTGCGGCAATCAGGTCTGCTGTGTCTGTGGCGCAGGTCCGGGGCGGAGGACTGCCTGGTTCTCGTCTGCTGCGGCCTATACGACCTCCTGCGGGGGGTGCTGCTCCTGCTGCCTGACCTCCTGCTGGAGGAGGTGATGGACAAGCTGGTGCAGCCCGAGGCCCTCGTCGTGCTCGTCAACCACCCCTCCCCGCTCATTCAGCAGGGTGTCATGAAGGTCAGGCTCCCCCTCTACTTATTTTCCCTCTATGTCTGGGGCAGTGTTTACATCAGCTTTGTCCGACCGGTTGCCCATGTCGTCTCCTTGCAGCTGTTGGATGCCTACTTCACCCGGGCAACCAAGGAGCAGAAGGAGAAGTTCCTGAAGAACCACGGCTTCTCGCTGCTGGCCAATCAGCTATACCTGCACCAGGGCACCCAAGGCCTGCTGGAGTGTTTTCTGGAGATGCTGTTCAGCCGACCAGTGGGCCTGGAGGAGGAGTGAGTGTAGAGCTCCCAGCAGTGGTGGAGATCGTGATATTTATGTCGGTTTAATGACATAATTGGTCTCCAGTCTCTCGAATCACATGCCATCTAGTGGATGACACCATGTCCCACAGGTAGATGCAAGACAGACTTTCGTGGCCTTTATTTCTGTGCAGGTTGGACCTGGAGGACCTGGAGAACATCGCCCCCTTCAGGAAGCGCTGCATCATCCCCATGCTGGGCCTGATTGAGAACGGACTGTGTGAGAATGCACTGGTGCACAACGCCCTCTGCATGCTGCTGCAACTGCTCAACGCCTGCCCCAAGATGGCAGACATCCTGTTGGATCACGGCCTGCTCTATGTGCTCTTCAACACGCTGGCCACCCTCCACGGCCTGGAGAATGGGTACGAGTCCCAGTGCGCGAGACCCGGCAGAATGAGTTTGTATAACGCAGTGCATTATGGGTAGTGGAGTGGCTGGAGGTTGGTTACTTTGATTTTCAGCTATATGGTTGGCTGTTGAGGTCCCAGGGGAGACTGGTGCTTAACCTCATATATATGTATATACACTGAAAATCAACTGTGAAATTCTAAATTCAGTTTTTTTTGAGGAGGAAGGGGGTGAAAAAGTGTTCGAAATGCCACCAGGAATAATATCTGCCTTTTACATCACACTTGGTTAAAATTTAATGCTGTGTGGTCTATTCAAGTCCTTACTGAATTCCTGTTTGTGGCTCTTTGGCAGCTCCTGAAAGCGCTTATGGCACCTGAAACATAGGGGTAAAAATAGGTGATTCTGTGTGTAAGATGTCGGCGTGCCTGTTTGAACCGTAACCCTAAGCCTAACCCTAAGCCTAACCCTAACTTCCCCTTCCCACAGGATCCCCCTGAACGACTACAAGCTGTTGGTGTGTGACATCCAGCAGCTGATGGTGGCCGTGACCATCCACTCGTGCAGCACGTCGGGCTCCCAGTACTTCCGCATCATCGAGGACCTCGTCACGCTGCTGGGCTACCTACAGAGCAGCAAGATTCGCCGCACCCAGGGTGAGCGGCATGCGCAGGCTGACGGAGGGTTCGTGTTGCTAGGAGACCTCCGAGCGCAGCCTCGTTGGCGGTGCCCTGCCTGTCGGCTCGCCAGTCCCGTTTCTGATTTTTTAAAAAAAATGTTTTTGTTGTTTTTTTTTTTAAACCACCAGCCAGGGTTTACCTTCTGCCTTTTCCTGTAACTGCGTATCCAGTACTGGGTCACAATGAGCCTGCAGTCTATTCCAGGAAGGAGGGCAGGGGAGCAATCTGGGCTGGATGCCAGTCCATCATGAAGCCGACACACAATCGCATAACAAGAGCAATTCAGGGAAATGCTTAGACTGTGGGAGGGAGACCGGAATATCACTGGGAGGGCATCCACATGTGAAGGGCCGGCGGGGGGGGGGATTCGAACCCGCAGCCAGGAAGGTGTGAGGCCACAATGCTAGCCAGTGTGCCATCCAGTTAGCCCTAAGATAATTTAGGGGAAAAAACAGGCTTTCCATGGTGATTATTGCAGTACCTCCTGGTAAACACATGCAGCAGTGCTAAGCTTTAAAACCTACGGCCGGTGGTGGGTGTGCTCCCTTAACCGCGCCGGGCCTTCGCAGAGATGGCAGTGGCGCTGCAGTTCCGGGTCCTCCAGGCCGCCATCGAGTTCATCAGGACCACGGCCGACCAGGACCCCCAGAAGGCGGGCGGCTCGGCCCAGCAAGCCGCCTCCCCGCCCTCATCACCTCACCACCTCCTCCAGAAACGCAAGAGCATCGCCGGTAAGCCCTGCACCCCGGGACAGGTCACCGAGCGTAAAAAACTGAAATCAGTTTGTAGGAGGATAAACACCCATAAGACATAGCAGCTAATTTTGGCAGTTGTATGCTAATTTTCAGCAAGAAAAAAAAATCAATGCTGTAATGAAGCACTGAGGTTTAAAATAACCTCGCATATTGCTTGTTTTTGACCATTAACTACATTTTTCTCAAAAAATTTTGTTTGTGAGTTTTGGTCCCCTTTTGAGGCAGTGTAGGTTGTTGTCTCTCCAGTATTTGTCCCTTCTGACTCTGCGTCATGGCCGTTGGCCCCAGGTGGGCGTCGCCAAGTCCATCCCTCAAGCTCATTGGCTATGTCTGTGTCATCCCCGCCTCCCTGTCCTCCTCCACCAATGGCAACGCCGTCACCGCCCACCTCCTCTAAGGCTCCATGGCCTTGAAAGACGCCATAATCCCCAGCATCCCCAGGCAGCATTACTGCTCCTACGGCATGATTCCGCTGCCCATGCCCTTCAGCTTCCTGTCCCAGGAGTCCCCTGTCTCGTGCCCCGCCAGCTCCTATGTCTTCCCCACTGACACAGGTGCAGTACATGCCCCCCACCAGTGAAAGACAACACTGTCCCGCTGGAGAGTGTTTCTTCATTTTTTTTTTGCATGAGAAGGAGTGAAGTTCCCCCCTAACCTGCCCAGTAAAGTCGTCCATCACTGGTGCTTGATATTACTCCTCACTAATCCCTGGGTGTCGTGTGTGTGTGTGTGTGTGTATGTGTGTGTGTGTGTGTGTGTGCGTGTTCGTCCTTGACTGCTGTTCCGGCTCCTCCGACTGGCTGTGGAGTTCTGAGTCTGTGAGGAGACTCTTAAACGACTCCGTCTCACTTTGAAGTGCACTAACAGGCAGCCTGTCTCCGCTCCTCTCCGCTCCGCTCCGCTCCTCAGGCTGAGCACACGCTAAATCACGCATTTCTTTCCTCAGACCCTTAAAACACAGATTCACTCTGATTACGGTATTTATACCACAGTGGTTGAAAGGACCAGAATTAAAAAGCATGTTTGTTTTTTTTTTTTCCTCCTCCGAATCCCCAGGAGGAACCACACAATGAATTAGGCTTGATATCGGAAATAGTTTTAAATTTAATGCTAATATAGGCAAATGGAGACTGGAATAAAACATGCAGGAAATTGTGTGGTTTTTTTCAGTGGGGACCTTCTTTGCCGTGATTCTGCTGAGTATTTTAAGTTTTATTAAGCCCTTACTTTTCCAGACGTGTTGGCTTAATAAACCCTTGGAGGGCACTCTGCGGGTAGCAGTTAGAATAAGGTTTTCTCAACCTTGACTTGTGGCAAGGTGGTGAGAGTTGTGGATATATCCCACAATCCTCTCCCCAGCCACCGAGCGACGTGATTTGCTGACTCTGCCGTGTCACCACCCCTGTGCCCTCACGTGCGATTGGTTGCCCCGCCGCAGGCCGGCGCCGGTTCTCCCTCGTCCAGTCAGACTCACTGCTGATGAGGATGCGCTCGGTGGCGAGCGACGAGCTGACCCACATGATGCAGCGCCGCATGAGTCAGGAGAACCCCATCCGAGCCAGCGAGTCCGAGTTCATCCAGAGGCTTCAGAGGCTGGTGGTGCTGGCCGTCAACCGGCTCATCTACCAAGGTGCGTTTCCGTGACGACCGCCTCCTCCGGCGTGCCTGGTAAGTGATGCCCCTGCGGTCTCGATGCCTCATTGCTGTGTATTTCACCTCATTTCCCCAGTTGATGTATCTGCCCACAGCTCAGATTCCTATTTTTGAGATTTTGCCGTTAGCTGGAGCAGGAACATGAGCATCGAGGTCCGCCCACCCTGAAGCTTACAGCCCATAATATTAAAATAAGACCTGTGCTATAATCGCTTAGCCACCGGTCCTCCGTTAATCGCTGTTACGTCCATTTCTTGTGGCTGTCAGACGTCACTCGGGACATCTTTGACCTCTTGAACCTTCCTGAGACCCCCGGCCACCAAGGGGCGCCAGCTGGCCCTGGGGAGACAACATCGGAGGAGAACGGTGCAATGCCCGTCCCCACCAGCAGGAAAAGCTTCCAGAAGGAAATCCTCAAACTCATGATGGAGGGCATAAAGGTTGGCTTGGTGAGCAGCCTGCAGGGGGCAGTCTCGCTGCTGCTGATGTGAGATGAGCAGGGGAATCCCCATTTGGCTCTGTTAATATAACACTGCTCTATATTCCCATCGATGTCAGGTGACCATTGAAGAGGCTTCACGTATCCGTGGGTCAGAACCACTTCAGCAGTGTGCTAGTTTTCAGGCTCTTTTAGCACTTTAGTGCACTCTCTTAACTCTCAAAGTCATGAAATGTGCCTTTTACCAATCACGAAGCTAATGGGAAGTTCTGGTTTAGATCCTCAACTCTGTTTACCCCCCCCACCCCCACCCCGCAGGGCAGTTCTGGCCGGAGTGGCGCCCCCCGCCAGCAGTGGCGGCGAATCCTGTGGTCGTGCCGCGACACCTTCCGGGTGCAGATCGGGCGGCTGCTGGTGCACGCGCTCAGCCCCACGCAGCCGCTGGAGGACAGGAAGGAGGCGCTGGAGTTCGTCCGGGAGCCCAGCCACCCCGACATCCTCCGCGAGAGTCTGAGCCCCGGTCTGGAGGTGCGGCGCTGGGTTACCTGCTGTTCCAGCTGACCGAAAAGAGCCTTAGATTTCACGTTGTAGATTAGGATGAAGTGAAACGAGGGATGTGAATACTGCTAAAGCAGGTCGCTGTCAGCTGTCTGTTAGGAGTGTGCAATTTGCTGAGGTGCTTTTAGTGCCCAGATCAGCACTTGGGGGTTCCTTCACTGCTGTCAGGCGCTGTGGATTTTGGATGTACCCCGTCAGGGGGTATGGGAGACGGCTGTCAGTGGCCCTCGTTTAGATGCCTTCGTCACCCCTGCCACCGTGTCGTTTCTGTGACAGCCTCTGGCTATTCCGGGGACGCCCTGCATAGCTGCTGTTGACAAAATAAATGCGCTCTCCCGCTCGTCCTTCCGTAAGAGTGAGAGCGTGTCTGCCGCCCCCTCTCTAGCACGGCCCCAAGCTGGCCCTCTACCTCTACGAGATGCTGCACGACCACAAGGACAGCCTGACCAAGGACGAGCGATCGGCCGTGGGCGTCTTCATGACCACTCTGAAGCTCTGCGGCCACCGCTGCATCCCGCCTGGCGCCCCGGCAAAGCCCGACCTCATCAAGGCCATCAAGGAGGTGGGGACAGCCTGAGGTCCATCCGGGGGTGGCACTCGTCCTCCCTCTGTCACAGCATGGTCAGAGACGGCGTGCCTGAATGCTTTATGCGTGTCCTGCAGGAGCAGCTCAAATACGAAGCGGAAGAGAGCATGAGCAGAGCGGCATGGGAGAGGAAGATGAGCAGCACCCAGAAGAGGTGACAGATCACGCTCGATGTACCACACGGCTGCCGTTAACGCGTTATTAAACCGTATAATCACATTTTCACTTAAATTTTTAATGATCATTGACGTTCTCTCCTCCCTGTGACCCGTAATCGGCCGTAGTCTGATGCAGAGGCTGGACGGCAAGCTGAAGGACATCTCGAAGATCGCGGCCGACATCACGCAGAACATCTCGCTGCGGCAGGGCATGGAGCGGAAGAAGGTGATCCAGCACATCCGCAGCCTTTACAAGGTGGACCTCAGTGCCAGCCGCCACTGGCAGGAGCTGGTACAGCAGCTGACCCACGACCGGTGAGCGCCTCCTGCTGGTGGTCCGGGGCATTACGTGCTTGTAGATGCAGGGCCGTGTCTAAGTGAATGTGCGTGTTGCAGGGCGGTGTGGCACGACCAGGCTTCCTATCCCACCTCGTGGCAGCTGGACGCCACGGAGGGTCCCAACCGGGAGCGGCGGCGCCTACAGCGGTGCTACCTCACCATACCCAACAAGTATCTCCTCAGGGATCGACAGAAACCGGAAGGTAGGGCCCCCCTGCCTGTGTGCCGTTTGGGGAGGGGGGGGATAACAGACCGGGATCTACCACACCCACCCTCGCTGTGTCTCTACTCAGAACGCACAAAGCCAATCCTGTCGTTCCTCTTCGAGGACAAAACGCACTCCTCTTTCTCCTCCACGGTGAAGGACAAGGCGACGAGCGAGGCTATCAGGTAGGCCTTGCGGCCCGGCTTCATCCGCCCTGCCCCCTCCCCCGCCTCCGCCCCAGCCAGCCCCTTTCCGGAGCGTGAGAATCAGGCTCTCTCTCTGCCTCCAGGTTCACCAGGAAGTGCATCAGCGTGGCTCCTTCCAGGGAGACGGCAGGAGAGCTTCTCCTGGGTAAAACCTCGGCCACGTCCGTACCCACAGTCCTTCGCTCACAGTTGTTCTGTCTTGAGGTTGTACTAGTAGCAGTTTTAATTGGATAATAGTGATATTTTTAGAGACTCGGTTAGCATGCTGTGAGGTCATTTATTATGTTTATTATCTGTCGGCCTGGTCTGTACTCATGGACCTGTCTCATCCCCAGGGAAGTCCGGCATGTACTTTGTGGAGGATAATGCCGCAGACTCACACGACAGCCAGGTGAGAGTTCGGGGGAGCGGTGGGCAGGTGGGGCCCCGGGGCGGGTGAAGCAGCTCGCGGGCGTCACACGTGTCTCTGCAGATGCTCCACGGGGAGACGGAGCCGGCCTCCTTCTCCTGGACTTACGAGGAGATTAAGGAGGTCCACAAGCGCTGGTGGCAGCTGCGAGACAACGGTGTGGAGATCTTCCTCACCAACGGAAGGACCCTGCTCCTGGCCTTCGACAACACTAAGGCAAGACCTGACCCGGTGGCCCTCGAACCTGAGATGCTGACACAGACCAGCACAGAGCACCACTGGACAGTTTAATTCGTAACTGTTTACTAGGGTGGTCCGTAGCGATGAGTCAAATTTTAAAATGGCCGTTTTTCCATGCCTCACTCTTTAATCTTGTGATGCATTGTGAGAAAATATTCCTGGCAAAATTTTTCATAGTTTTATTGATCTTTAGAGGTCACTCAACAAGATCAAAGTCGGAAGAAATCGAACAAGTACAAAAATCTTACTAGACAGAACCATACAGCCTTCAAATATTGGTTTTTGAACTTTTAGCTTTTGCTAGTCTAGGTTAAAAAAAAAAAAAAATAGCTCTGAGAAGCAACTTCAATATGTACCTTTAACGTATTATAGGTGCATCAATATCATGCTAGTAGTTCTCACCCCCTAATTTTGTTATCTTATATAAGAAAACATTTATTGATCATTTTCAACCATGTTTAAAGCTTGCTCAAGCACCTTGAATGGCAGAAGCCTGGTTTAGTTGCCCACCGTCGGTAATACCTGTTAATCTCTCTGGTCGTCCATTTAATCGTTGGCAAAAACGTGCTAAGCATCTTATTTTTTTTTGCAGTTCCGAGACGATGTCTACCAGAACATCCTGACCTCCAACCTGCCCAATCTGCTGGAGTACGGCAACATCACAGCGCTGACGCACCTGTGGGCCTCGGGCCAGATCACGAACTTCGAGTACCTGACGCACCTGAACAAGCACGCGGGACGCTCCTTCAACGACCTCATGCAGTACCCAGTGTTCCCCTTTATCCTCAGCGACTACACCAATGAGACCATGGACCTCACAGACCCCACCATCTACAGGTGCTGCCGTCGCGCCGTCTCAATGCCGGCTTCTCAAAGAGAAAAGGGAACGATGATTTACATTTGCATAATTATGGCCCTCTAGCACATAATTCTTCTGCCATTCCTTTAGAAACTGATCTAAGGAGACTCTGCATTGTCTAAGCTAAAATGATTGGCGTGCATCATATGTAATGCATCTTAAACCTCAGGATTGCAGCAGTAGAGTCACTTAAAATCTGCAAAGATGTCAAACATTGTAAACATTCCATTCCAGCCCCCTCAGACTGACGAGAAGATTCAGTACCAGCGTCATGAGCTGTAGACTCAAGTTGATGGACCTTTATGTCATTACAGATGACATCAGATGCCACACATTGACTAATGTATCTAAACAGCAAGTCAGTCCCGATTTGATTGGGCACCGTAAAGAGAATTAATACTAATGCAGTCAGTCTAAGCAGCAGCACTGATGCCCGGACGAGGGCCGGATCTGGAGTTTCACGCCAGTGTTTCTGTTCCCTTGCATCTCTCCCACAGGAATCTGAGCAAACCCATTGCGGTTCAGTCCAAGGAGAAGGAGGAGCGCTATGTGGATAACTACAAGGTGGGCTTGCAGTCCTGGCAGATGTGGGTGGGCTTGTTAGTATGATGGAGTGAGGGGATGTCATTAGCGGCCAGCTGTCTGCTCCCGGCTCCCCTAATGAAGGCCGTCGATGCGGCATTGCCGCATGGCTGTCTGTCATTACCATCCAGCTGGCATCTCCGGTCAGACACGCGTCGACCGTCAAACGGTTTACCTTCACGGTACATTCCAGAAGGTGACGTGACGTGTGTCCCCACGCCACTTCATAAAGATGCTGTGGTTTTGCATCACTGTGGGTGGATCTGAGTGGAGGGGTTCACCATCTGGAATGTCCGTAACGTGTCGGAGGTCATTGTTCCTGCAGTACCTGGAGGAGGAGTTTCGGAAGGGTGCCTGCGAGGACGACCCCATGCCCCCCGTACAGCCCTATCACTACGGCTCGCACTACTCCAACAGCGGCACCGTGTTGCACTTCCTGGTTCGCATGCCACCTTTCACCAAGATGTTCCTGGCCTACCAAGGTAAAGAGCCAACCCAAAAGCATGACCTGCATATGCAGACTGCTTGGTGTGCTGAGGTCTGAACCGGTCAATCTCTGATACTTATGGGCAGTGTTGGTGAAATTACTCAGAGTAATCCATTACTGACAGAGGTGCAAAGGTCAGGTCCAGAAAGTACAAATCCAGACCATGGTTTCGTTTCAACCAACCGGTTGAGTTCTCTCTGACTGTCACTCTTTATACTCAACTGGTTGGTTGAAACGAAACCATGGTCTGGATTTGTACTTTCTGGACCTGACCTTTGCACCTCTGTCTGTATTGGATTACAATATGTGAGTAACTTCCCTGGCACTGCCTATGGGTTACATGCTATGCTGTATGTGTAGACCATTCCTGCACTGTTTCAGTGCCATCAGGAGGTATCGATCTTAATCAGCTGGGTCATTATGTGATTGTCCTCCTCATTAACGATGAGTTTAAATTTAGCAGCACTTAAGGCACATGTTCTCTAATTACCGATAACTCCCTGCGGCCTGGCAGACCAGAGCTTTGACATCCCAGACCGGACGTTCCACTCTATGAACACTACATGGCGCCTTTCCTCCTACGAGTCCATGACCGACGTCAAAGAGCTCATTCCCGAGTTCTTCTACCTGCCCGAGTTTCTGGTCAACAGGGAAGGTAGGATCTTGATTTTCTTGGCTTGTGTTTGTGTTAATGGGTTAAGAATGGGAGAGACTTGCCTCATGTTTGGATGCTACGTTCTATAGAACTTCTGGGCAGCTTGGCGCTTCAGGGTGTGTGATATTGTTTCATCTGCACTGCAGTAGATGCTGACCTATATATTTCAACCAGGAATTATCTGCTGTCATGACAGGGATTTTTCTTTGGGTCTGTGATGGTCTTAATCCCTCCTCCAGGCTTCGACTTCGGAGTGCGTCAGAACGGCGACCGGGTCAACCACGTGAACCTGCCGCCGTGGGCTCGCAGCGACCCGCGCCTCTTCATCCTGATCCACCGGCAGGCGCTGGAGTCGGACCAGGTGTCGCAGACGCTGTGCCAGTGGATCGACCTGGTCTTCGGGCTCAAGCAGAAGGGCAAGGCTGCCGTACAGGCCATCAACGTCTTCCACCCTGCGGTGAGCCCATCGGCCGCCACCCAACCTCGCCAAGAATATCAGGGCATATGCAGCTCGTCTAAAACTTGGCCAACTGGGATCCTTCCATTGGAGCATAGGGCAAGTTATCAGTGTTTGCCGAGTGTTATGGAGGATCTGCAGAACAAGAGTGAGTCACACCCTCCAAATATACAGGTGGAAACATTAATATAAGTCGGTGTTTCTCAACCCAGTGCCCGGGGACCCCCAGACGCTCTACGCTCCTGTTCCTTTCCAGTTCCCAGCACACCTGTGCCAGATATTCCGTTTTCTTGATTGTTTGGGTCAAGTGTGCTGGGAGGGAACAAAAATGTGAACCGTCTTGGACCAGCTGAGGTCTGGGTTGTGAATCACTGATTTAAATAATAAAGTAGTTAAATATCCCAGGGAGGCTGACAATGACGATGATGAGATTCAGGGTAGTTTGTCTCACGCTAATGAACGACTGTGCCTGTCTTTCCGCAGACGTACTTTGGTATGGACGTATCTGCCGTCGAGGACCCCGTGCAGCGGCGCGCCCTGGAGACCATGATCAAGACGTACGGCCAGACTCCGCGGCAGCTGTTCAGCAGCAGCCACGCGAGCCGAGCAGGACCCCGGCTCTCCATCGACGGCGAGCTGCCGGCCGCCGTAGGGCTGCTGGTGCAGCTGGCCTTCAGGGAAACCCGCGAGCAGCCGAAGGAGGTGTCCGGCCCGGTACATGTCAGCCAGGGCCTGGGCAAGCGCTGGGTGGGGGACGGGCGGGGGATGGGATGGGGCTGGGCGGGTGTAGAGGTGACCGATGTCCCATTACCCTCTTAGAGCCCCCTGCCTTGGATCAAGGGCCTGAAGTGGGGCGAGTACGTGGGGTCGCCCAGCGCCCCGGACCCCGTGGTGTGCTTCAGCCAGCCGCACGGCGAGCGCTTCGGCTCCCTGCTGGCCCTGCCCACGCGCGCCGTCTGCGGCCTGTCCCGCAAGTTCTGCCTCATGATGATCTACAGCAAGGAGCAAGGTAAGCAGCGAGCGGCGCCCTCTGCAGGCTGGGTCCTCACACTGCGGTCTGCCCTAAACACAAGACCGTCAGTCACCCGTTGTGGGAGCCCAGGGCTGCACAGAGGCTAAGCCATCCCTCTGCACTGTCGGGTTACTGTAAGCGTGACCCCCCGGGTGTGCCGTGGCAGGGGTGCGGAGCATGCACAGTACGGACATCCAGTGGTCGGCTATCCTGAGCTGGGGCTACGCGGACAACATGCTGCGTCTGAAGAGCAAACAGAGCGAGCCGCCCGTCAACTTCATCCAGTGCTCCCAGTTGCATCAGGTACCCCCACTGGGCCGGATGTCCATTTTGAAGTTTTGGCACCGTTTCTGCATATAGTCCTTCCCAGTTATGGACTAACCCCCCCACCCTCCAGGTGACCAGCTGTGCTTGGGTGCCTGACAGCTGCCAGCTGTTCACGGGCAGCAGGTGTGGCGTCATCACGGCCTACAGCAATCGCTTCACCAGCACCACGGTGCGTTTCCACGGTGACCGTATCATCCACCCCTCCTGGCTTCATTAGTCATTTTACAGTTGCCCTAGAAACACATTTCCAAAAGGCTGCTAGGCCTCCCCTCCCCACCCGGCCCCCCATCACTTTGCAGGGTTGCGGGGTTTGGCTGCATATCGGGGGCCCACTGTGTCCATTTCCTTCCTGCCGAGCTCTTAATGAATTTCAGCTTGATTAAGTCGGCTATTGAATTATGGCCATGATCTTAACCTACCTGAATAATATGTGGCGATTTTTAACAGGCCCTTCTTTGTCTGTTTTGATAATTGCTTCCATTTTAAAATGGATAATAGGGGTTCCCAGGGTGCTACCATTAATAGCACTAACAGGGGGCTACACAGCACTAAAATGTTAATTGCCCACATGGGGGCTTTGGTTGGTCTGGGACATTCGTCAGCCACTGGGATTTACTCCGAGTGTCAGTGGGATGGCATCCAGGGTGACACAGAATTGCTAACTAAATTCTGGAAATCCAATATAGATAATCCCCGCTCAGCGTGACTCAGGTGTGATTCGCTTTTCGGGGGTCTGGGTGGTCAAGGTCTCTACAGTAGAGTTTACACCTAAGCCCCGCCCTCTTTCACAGCCCTCGGAGATGGAGGTGGAGTCCCAGATGCATCTGTTTGGCCACACCGGGGAGGTCCTCTGCCTGTTTGTGTGCAAGCCCTACAGCATCCTCATCAGCGCCAGCGAGGACGGGACCTGTATCCTCTGGGACCTCAACAGGTGTGTGGCCCCCCCCGCCCCCCCCGTGCTACGGTACTCGAATGAAAGGCCTTCTGGGTCCACACCGTCATGCTCCCGCCCCCACACTGCTTGTCATGCCCGCAGGCTGTGCCACGTCCAGAACCTCATGGGTCATAAGAGCCCCATCTCGGCAGTGTCTGCCAGCGAGACCACGGGGGACATCGCTACAGTGTGCGACTCGGGTAAGAGCTAACCTCCCCGTTAGTCTGGCACTCATGCACAAATGATGCTAAATCAGTTTATTAACAAGGATGTACTAGGCTGTGGTAAACACCTCTGAACAATATTCTTCCCAGAACACTTACAATATGAAATTTCATCGTAATGCCGTCCCTGAAGTACATTATGATTGTAATGGCTAATTTATTTAATGTGTTTAGCTCATATCATTGAATTTAATTGAACTGACATTGGCATTCTCAATTCATTGTCAATTCAATGAATTGATTGTTTGATCATTTAATTGAAAATTGTACACACGTCACGAGAGTGTCGTGGGGGGTTTGGAGATATTTTGTTGAAAATCGCAGTGGAACACCCCATTGTGTCTGGAGGCTTGGTTTGGGTTACACACGCCTGCGGTTTATATAAAGGTTAATTACTTTGTGAAGAGACACTAAAAATAATGGAAGTTTGTTTGCCTGACGTCTCTGGCAAATAGACACTCTATTTCTGTAATATCTGTTTATACTGCTGAAGGAAGGTAATGAACAGAGCTAGCTGCCATTTTGAAATCATTTATTCATCTGTTTAGTTTGAACATTGATAAAAATTATTCTTGTTTAAGATCCGCATCTCTGGACTCTTTCTGTTTGCTTCTTCTACCACAACCCTCCAAGCCTAGCTCACCTCCGTAGACACACGCTCAGCAACATGTTATCTGAAGCGGCTGAGCCACCTTGTGACGGTCATGCAAGACTGTTTTCTACGTTCCTCCCTGAAGGAAACTCTAATCCTGCCTCACTGCTTGGTTCCAGTTGAATCAGGCATCATGTGGGGACCTTTCCTGGGAATTACTTACCATTCCTGTCTGGGGTTTATATATAACTTGCTTTGTCCTTGGGCAGTGGGCGGCGGCAGCGACCTGCGTCTGTGGACGGTGAACGGAGATCTGATCGGCCACGTCCACTGCAGGGAGATCATCTGCTCTGTGGCTTTCTCCAACCAGCCGGAGGGTGTGTCTGTCAATGTCATTGCGGGGGGGCTGGAGAACGGGGTGGTCAGGTAAGGAGCCCTTTTACTTTCAGCCTGTTTAAGAGTATGAAAAACAAAGTGCCCCCCCCCCACCCCCACCCTACCCCAACTTTGCAAACTCTAAACTTAAGCAGTATGGTGGAGAGAGAGCCTGCAATGTGAACTGCGCAGACATCCTCAAATCCGTATCACGATGTATGATAATTAGACTGTCTAAAAACACGGACAATGGGGGAAAATATGGAGGGTGTCTTCTGTTAATATTGTATGAATGAGATGCTGGCAGCTAATCTCAGCCAGGCTCCCTGGAGTCGTGAGAGAGGGGCTGTTTTCTGCCGAGCCCAGCGTGATGGCAATCTCCATTCCTGCTGCAGGCTGTGGAGCACGTGGGACCTGAAGCCCGTCCGGGAGATCACATTCCCCAAGTCCAGCAAGCCCATCGTCAGGTACAAGCCTGCCCGTTTCCGGCAGATTCTGCCTTATGCGTTCGTCATTCTGATAAATTAACGTAGGTTGTCCGCATGAACCAGGCTGGTGTTACCTTCCCGGCCTTCACTCTCTACGCTTCCGTGTCTGATCCACAGCCTGACGTACTCATGCGACGGACACCACCTGTACACGGCGAACAGCGAGGGCACGGTGATGGCCTGGTGCCGGCGTGACCAGCAGCGTCTCAAGCTGCCCATGTTCTACTCCTTCCTCAGCAGCTACGCTGCTGGCTGACCCCCCCCCCACCTGCTCCACGTCGCCCTCTAGGGGCGTTCAGACTTCTGTGACGGGGGCGGGGCGGCTGGGAGGAGGCTGATGCACCAAACCTAGTCAGACCTCCCCCCACGCAGACCCCAAGCGGACCAGAACTGTGTGCGTTCAGTGATGACAAGGATGTAGTGATGCTTAATTATGTTTGTATGTGTATTTATATATGACTGACACTAGGGGGAATGATGGTTAAATGCTTAAACCATGGATGCCTCTTCCATTCTGAGTGTTGTTTTGTTTGTGTTTTTTTTCAGTATTGCCTTAAAGATGTACTTTTGTTTGTTTGTCTGTTTTTCCCTGAGAAGTCTTAAATCATGGTATACGCACTGTGTCTGTCCCACTGGTGTTCTGTTTTCTGGTTGGGCCACTGCGGACACACTCAGCTCGGACCCCACCAAGCAAACAGCATCCCGATCGCTAACAGGCCGACTGCATAGATGTCACGCCTCACCGGAACCTCCTCAGCATCGTCGACTTCAGTTCTTCTCAGCGCCCCCTGAAGGCTAGGAGGAGACACGGTCCACAATGGCCAGCACTCCCTTCAATATTAACTGCTTTGAGGCTGCGGGGAAAGTTTCAATTAGTCTTGGACCCGCTCCTCCCTGCTTTGTTGGAGGTGAGGAAGACTGTGGCCCAAGCCTTAATTTCTGATGGACAGTGGCCTTGAATTAGCTTTGGTCTACAAAACAACGCAAGGGTTCTGTTGCTGTTACTTCTGACCAGATAACGTGAAGCTTATTACTATAAGCTTAGTACACTGTTTTTGTTTTGTTTTTTGTTTTTTTTACTTTTCAGATTTTGTTGTCGGTGGTGTGGGATCCCCAGCTTCTTTGAGAGCACAGCATGAACAGTGGTCGGGGGGGGGAGGGGGCATGGCACATCCTCAGTTTTGTGTTTTGGACTCGCTGCACTATACATTACATTACATTACATGCACCCATAATCAGTGTCTCAAAATAAATCGCCTTTACGTCATGTGGCCACGCCACCTGCTGGCGGCGCTGCGGTACTGTCGGGCCCATCGCATCAATCGCAGAGCCACATTGCGCTACCCAATCAAAAGACGAATAAGAACTGGCAATGTGTGACTCTATTGCTTGTCAGTGTGGTCAGTAATTTGAAGGGGGGGGGGTGCACTTGTAGAGGCTGGTTGATAATATCAGTGCAATGGGACCTGCCTCTGCTAGTCTCGCCGGCTATTTGTAGTCCCCCCCCCTAGTTTCTGCTGTAAGGTCCTTAAATGCACGCAGTGCATGTTTTCATCCAGCAATACAGACTCTGTCTATAGCAGCACTGACTGTTTTGTAGAGGATGCTGGCGGACGGCCGCATATTTGCGGTCTCAGGGTCACTGGCGGTTTTCCAGAACCAGGCCCATTTAATCAATTACCAGCGCCTGAGTGCATGATGCACGGCCGCGTGCTAAAAAGCCTTAAAAAAAGACATAATAAAAAATCCCCAGACACCTGAAAAGTAACTGCGGGGGAGAAGCATTAAAATCATATTGTGCGTGTTTACAAAGCTGGCGGTCGTTCGGAGCTCCCTTTTAAGTTGGTAATAAATATGGTAATTACGAAACTGTGTCTTACACTTCGGCATTTCGCTGAAATAAAAAAGTGTTTACGTGAATGGGAGCTCTCGTTTAGCAACCACCACAATTAGCGCTCTTTCTTCGTCTCCTTTTTACATCCACTGCGGATGGTCTTAGCTAAAGAAGCCTGAATGGTAAAAAATATATAAGAGTCTTTCCTCACCGCCCGGAGAGCCTGACAGCTGCATGGTCAGGAGAGGCAGCGGAACCCGGAGCGCGACCTGCATGGCAGCATGACCCCGCGTGTCCGGTCCGGCGGCACGGGGAGGCAACCTCAGAGAGAAAATAGTATTATGGCCGTTTGTGTTTCCAAAAATCACAAAAAAAAAAGAGACGACGACGACAGGACCTATCGCGTCGACTTTGTGAAGCTCTGGACTTTGGGAATGGATGTGATTCTCCGTCAATTTCCACCTTTGGTATGAATATGACCTTAGCCGTAACTGAGAAGGTCACGGGATAAGTGGACACGTGTTTCTTATTTTTTTTGTACCCATGTATGTACGAAGTGATGGAAAATTAAAATTATTATATATAAATATATAAATACAAATATGAATATTTAAGAAATGGAACATTGACTGCTTACTTTGCATGTAAATTATAGATTTGGATACAGCTGTACAGAAATGACTGTTTTTGTGTTGAATTCACCTGGGGGAGGGTTGGCTTGCTGGTTTCACTTGCTACACAGAGCCGGTCCTTGAACTGAGAAAAGTTCTCTCTTTTTTTTTTTTTTTTTTTATATATATAATTTTTTCCCATTTGTCACACTAATTGGGTCATACGTCACCTTTGTGTGCTTGTCTGAGAGTGTCTCTGTCATCGTGCCTGGCTGCGGGAGTCCCCCCGCCACTCCGTCCTGCGGGACACGGTGCGTGTGGCTCTCTGTACCAACCGTACCCCTTATTAGATGCTAATCAGCAGATCTCGCCACACTCGTCATGCCGCATTTCCAGAGGCCAGCTGTAGACGTGTGTTGTGAGCTGCGCTGTTCTCCGGTCATCTGAAACGGTCCCAAGTTTATTTTCCACATTTTAGAGAAGAACATGCAATAATATGCATGGTTAGGGAGGGGCGACGCAAGAGCTCATGTCCCCTGTGGCTGCTGGAACCAGATTAGTGTCGGCTCCTAATCCAATGATGTAGCACGAAACAGGCCATCAGAACCCCTCCTGGGAAGACCGAGGTGAGTTTAATCCGCTGCACGGTCACACAACAGCTCTTTATTGGCGAGTCCACCTTCTGTAGAACGCTACCTACGGTTTCTCGTCAGCGCTGGTTACGCGATGGGGCCATAGCCTTTACCAGTTTAAAGGCTTAATGCAGGCAATTAATTCGTAATGTAGATTAAGTGCTAATTAGTACAATTGGCATGTGGCTTTACAGAGCAGGCCAGAGGGTTCTGCTTTCTGGCTTCTGTTGTACAAACATTGCAGTAAGAGGGGATTTACTCAGAACTGCCTGACCAGGGAAATATCTGCTGTGTGACTGGCAATATATTGTAGTTAATGGAGTTTTATTATATTTTATTAAGACATAATGAAGCGTGCTTAATTTCTGCTCTTGACTGTTATGCTAGGCTGAGAATACGGAGTCTATAGCACCGACAGGAAGTCGTGGTTTTCTTTGCCCTGCATTGAAGGTAAGTAAAGATATGGTTCTGCCAGAAGTGTGCGGGAGAGGACGATATACTGTAGGTAAGTAATCTACAGCTATGTGTTTCCGCAGCGTTCTCTGCTCGTTAACCGCGTTAACGAGCCTGCCGTTAATTGACCTGTGCCGCCTGTGACATCAGGGTTAGAGGCATTTAAACATTTGGATGTTTGCCCGAGTGTCAGGTGATTACGACTGATCTCTTGCCCCAAATCCCTTTATGCGTCTTCCTGATTGGTTGATCTCGCTCACTGAGGGCTGTGGGGGAACCTGGGGGGGGGGGCTCTGATGTCGAGAGCTTAACAGCCTGCGGTGTTTCACTCAAAATAGAAGCTCAGGTTTCACGATGGATCAGCTGGGAGGCCCTGGTGATGTAAAAAGCCAGCAAGCTGCAGTTCCCACGGCGACTGAGGGAAATTGTTAGTCAATTAGTGCATGTCAATTTCACATTCATTTACTAAATACGGTAGGGGGGGAGAGATTTTATCTTTGGTACTGGGTAATGTAAGCATGACGAAATGGTGAGCATGGCCCAGTTTCAGCTGATAATTAGCTAACGTTATGGTGACTGTGGGAGCCTGTTGTTCAGGGGGGGGGATTAGTGAAGCCTTTGTTCCTACACAGTGTCACCGTTTCTTCCCCCCCCAGGTTTAATTCTCATATTGCAGATGGTTGGAGAACCTGGGATCGGCCTGGCTGTCGGGTCCGTCACCTCCGCACTGGAGGTGGGCTGGGCCGGTAGCTCGCCAGCTCCCCGCGTCTGGCCCGGCGATTCCCATGCCCACCGCGCCTCAATGAATATGTGAAAATGTAGCTGATTGGCGGTTCCGGGTAGCCCAACGGAGCGCGGTTTGGCTCGCTGCGATGCGGAGGGCTGTAATTATGTCAGGCTGAGGCGGGGGGACACACGGGGAACCGCAGGGGCTTGTGTATGTGATGAATACTCCCTTTCTGCTGGAAATTAGTAGCTCCATAACCATTAGCACTCAATTTGACAAACAGTTTAACTGGTATATAATTACAGCTCAGCATTAGCTGTCAGCTACTCCGGCACTGTGCCTGTTGTAAGGATTGATGTTCAGTTTTAAAAAAAAAAAAAAAGTATATTTACAGAGTATGGATCACTTCTGCTTTTGGAAAGGTGAACCCTGGGGTCCGCGCTGAGTGACGTGGCCCCCCCATGGTCCCCGACCGGGGTAGCGAGCTCTTGGTTTCCGTTGTATTCAGCCCAAGTTTAGCATTTGAAATATAAAATGCGGATAAGCTAATGCAGATGAAAGCCCCTATGCTTCCATTCGGCTGCTTAAGAGATCGGGGTCCTGTTGGTTGTCATGGCGAAGCCAGGGCAGGGCCTCTGGGCTCCTTCATCCTTCCTCTCCTGCAGTGTCATGGCGGCACAAATCTGCGAACCTCCTCCTCTTTGCCCCCGCAGTCTCACTCACGCCTCCCAGTTGATGCCGGCAGAAGCTGAGGTCACACAACTGAAGCCTGGATACCTGAAGGCACAACAGCGGTGTCCTGATCTTTCCCACTGGAGGTCACCATGACGACAGTATCTCTCAGACCTGGTGGGCTGTGGTGGGGGGGCAGCTCCTCCTCTCGTGCCAGTGAGCCGCTTTCGCTGGGAATAATAAGCACAGCGGTCCAAGTGCTTGTGACTGACTCCGCACTTCCTGTAATAGGCCGTCGCTGCCGGCTCCTCCTCTGCGGAGACCCTGTCAAACTCCCCCTCGCCGCAGAGGCCGCAAACGCCCAGTGGCGTGTCAGGCTCCGCGCGCCGTCGCTCCACGCGCACCTGAATCGGCTCAGGTTCCCTTCCGCGGCATTTCCGGCAGGTTCTCCGGCGGAGGCCTGCCAACTTTAGCCTCCGTGACTCATCCTTCATTCCACGAGCACCGCTGCTCACGGTTCCACAGCCGCCCCCTTCGAGCCCCCCCCCACCCCGCCCTCTCCCCACACTCCAGTGTTGCTGTTTAGCCCGTCGTTCGGTCTGGCGAAAGCCACTCGCTCTCGTTTACTTTCACACGGGTGAGCTGGGGTCTCCAAAAATCTTCAAATTGTCCAAATTACTTCTGCCGCTTGTAGGCTGCTGTGCTCTGCATTAGGAAGCTGGCCAGGCTATTACCCACCCCGTGGGTCCTTCTGGGGGCAGTTTTGGTTGCGACTGTGGGGTTTCATGCCACTGGAGTCCCATCTTATCGATTAACATCTTATTTGCACAATCTGCTTACAGGATGAAATTGACGTTTCTAATCATTATACAGCCACAGGAAACATGTTTCATAACAAACGCGAGCTGAGGAGCTAACAAGCTGGGCGTTTGTGTTCGTGTCACATTTCGGGCTTCTCTCTTATTTCCTCTATGCCTGTCCAATTTCTCTGAGAATTTGGGCCGCCTGGGGGGTTTTGACGGAGCCTGTCTCGGGCAAAGCGTATCCACATTGCGCTCTGCTTGGAAATGTCCTCCAGCGTTTCAGAGAAGGTCAGTGGATTCAGGGAGGGCGGGAGTGAAGTCGATGCGGAGTCGAGGAGCCCTCGTTAACACAGTAGTTACGTGGCTACCTGTCACACATGCTAATTAGAGAGTTTCTCACTGAGCTTGATATTGGTCATTGCTGGTGCTGTGATTCTGTGCCATTGGGCCACGGATTTAGACTTTCCCGTCAGATGTCTTGCGGTGGGTTATTTTTGCGCGGTTTGTGGAATGTTTGCCAGCTGGAGCCGAGAAAGACCCCAGCAGTGCTTCCCGGTAATTAGAAGTGACCATGTAATGTGATGGTTGCTGGTTCACGTCCCATGAGTGGTTGAACTGTTATCCTTTTAGCTGGAACGACTCCACGGTGACTATGGCTGTGATCGGATGGTCGCCAGTTCAAATCCCAGAGTCGGGGGAGTGTTTTCACCTTTGGACTCCTGAGCCTTTAACCCCTGCTTTCACAAAGAATGTTACTATAGATAAAAGTGTCCTGGAATATAGGGGTCAAGGCCATTGCTGGCCAAGATGCGCACGCTGTGGGCGCAACAACAAATGGCAGACTTTCTGTTTCTGCCTCGGGTCATACTGTGACTCGCCCCACGTTGAAGGGACCCCCGGGGGAAGGGGGGGGGGGGTTGTGGAGGGGCGGCATCTCATGAACAGGAGGAATCAGGGCTGACTTTGCCTGGCTTTTTGCGGAAAGAAGCTAATTGAGATTTGCATAAAGCCCCTATTGGGAGCTTCCAACAGGCACAATTATTCAGAAGCACTCAAAACCGCAAAAGGAGAATAATTATGTTCGCATCATTCGGGCGCATTTCATAGTGTGCTTAGCCGGTGTGAAGCCCCTGAAAAGGAACAAATGGCAGAGTGTTTTGGCTTCATAAACTAAGCCCTTAAACATTTTCTCATGCATTTTTTTAATGCTCTTAAGAGGAACGGAGTTGAGCCAAGCGAACTGGACTTGACCGTCTGCCAGGTTGTCTCCGATCTATCTAAAAATACCACGAAAAACAGGCAGAGAAATGGATAATACACTGCAGTGGTATTAAAATTAGGAATCAACATGTAGTTTTCGCTGCTGCTTTGTGAATTATATGGATGCCAGAAATAGCTGTAGTATAGTTCCACATTCTAGCAGCCAATAACACCACATGCTTATTTTACTATTTTTGGATGTGTATCGTCCCCTGATTTTTAGAGCTAGGCTTCCTAGTGAGTTTGCCTCTGTCACCTCGGTATCGGCCGGCCTGACCTGACCCGGCCCAGGCACCAGGAGGCCTGCCTGCGATGTGGCTCCTCGGCTCTGAGGGTCCCCTGCAGCCCCAGTCTATCGGCAGTGCGTCACCAGGTCGGCCTGAATCCTCTCATCGACACACGTTTCTCTTACACACATCCGAGTCTGTTTGTTCTGTGACAACGCCGCTGCCGGCTGTCTAGGGACAGGAAACTACCTGAAAGCTGCTACATTTCAGTACCAACCCAACCTTCCCTCCTCCAAGGAAAGGAAAAAAAAAAGTGAATGCAGGAATCAGAAGACTGTGTTTAGTCCCTATGACACTTTAATGTGATGCAAATGTAAACTGCTCCATAGCTCATTCAGGTGAAGGACAGTTTGAAGTGCGTACAGTAAATTTATTTTTAGCTTGATAAACTTCACAGTCTGCGTTGCAGGCATATTTTCAGCCCGTTACTCTGAACATAATGCTGGGAGTCTGAGAAATGTTCCATTTATAAACGCAATAAGCAGGGAGACTGCTGAGCCAAGGAAAGTATTACACTTTACCCATATCAGCCGGCATCCCTGAGATTTTTATTATTTGCAGTCAATTTATCTAGTTAGAATTTAATTAGTATTTATCTGTCAGACTTTTACATTAATGCAAGGTCATGAAAAAGCTGCACGCCATGATTTTTAGTTTCCTGCTAATGTGTCACCATCTGGCTACATATGTATGTGGATATAGATGGATGGGTCGTCAAATGATAGCGCTAGATTGTGTGTGTGTGTGCGTGCGTGTTCATGAATGTATGTATATAATATATACAGATATGTATTAAATAATGACGATGCAACTAAAAAATGACTGCAACTTAAATTCTTTCTGTTGATCCTGTTTAAAAATTAGGGTCATTATGAATTTAACGCTTGTCGTGGCCTGTTTTGGTGACATCAGGTGTGTGTTATATCGCAGAGTTTGAATATTTCAGCGTGGCTGCCATTATAACTATGGCACTTATAGTGATACCGGACATTTGACCTCGGAACCCTGCAGCTGACCCGGCTCCTCCTAGCGGCCCTGTTAGCGGCTGGACGCGTGAGAAACCGCGGGCGCGCGCTCCATGCGCGTAGACAGGTGGGTTGACGAGAGCGCGCCGCAGAAAGTAACCCCAGTGCGCCCCGTTCGCCGGCTGCAATCCAGCATCTGATGAGAAAGAGGGATTTATTCACGAGGAGCGCGCAGACCCCGCGCGGTTGTCTTGGAGACCGACTTGTGTCCTTGCACAGCGCCACCGTGCATTGTTCTGCGGGAAGCTTTCATTCGCGTCCCTCGGCACAAAGTCGGGGGCCACTGCAGCCGCGCTATGGCACCGTGCGGCTGATGATTACGTCAGTCTGACTAGAGCCGTCAAGGCGTCCCTGGCTTCTCCTCCGCGCTGCCACCGAGCCCCATCAGTACGCTCCGCTCCAGAAAACTGTGGGAGGACCCGACTCCGAACCCCGGGCTCAGGGCCATTTCTAATGCTCATCTGTCAGGACGCTACGCTGGCGTAAGCTCATGTTTAATGCTGCAAAATGGAGAGTCTTAATGTTTGTTTTCATCATCACACATAAATTTTAACCACCAGTAGGTTTTTAATAAAATATGACTGCATTACTTGATATATAGCCCATGTTTCAAAATGTGAACTGCACTTTGATTAAGGTGCCTGTTTAGATGGGCTGTGGCTCAAGCAATGACAAATTTAAGTACGAAGTTTTAATTAATAAAATCTTTAAATGTCCCACCATTACCCTGCATTGAAATATTTTAGTGTTATGTTTGTTTTCCCTGACGTGCAACTTTTCAAATAGGAAAAACACTAGCCCTTTCTCTTAATCTCATACCTCGTTACTGTTTTGATGAATGCAAACAGACACTGAACACAACACAACTCACTGATGTTAAATGCTTTTCTTGTCTTTGAATGTTTCTCTCATTTGTACCGTTTGGGAAGACCAAGAACCATGATGAATGGTCTGGTGTTGGCTTGGAACCCAACGGGTGTTCATAAGTAAATGAAAATCAAGTAATTTTAATAAAAGACTAACAAATTGAGAAAGAATCTCCACTCGTCACCGTCATCTCTCAAAATTCTGTAAATCAATATTCACTGCCGATTGCAGAAATTTGTCTGTTTGGGGAAATTCTGACCCCTAGCGGAACTTCTGTAAACGACAAGTCGACTACGGTCAACACTTTGCAGTTTTTCGGGCAAATCTGCATAAAGTGACAGCTATAGAGTCATCAGCGTCGGCTCATTTTTAACATGTTACACCTGTTTAATGTGCAAAATCCGTGTGCTATTTTAAATGAATGCTTGTAAATGGGAACTGATTAACAGGGACTAACGGGTTAACTGTTTTGTTGCAAGGTACCCGCAAGCCCCCCTCGCAGCCTCTCGATTGACACCCTCCGAAATACACTTGCGGATCTAGGTGTCTCCGGTGCCGACTTCAAGCCCCAGGAAGCTTAGCGAAGCCGCTCCGCCGCTTCCAATTGGCTGCGCGGTGGTCGGGAGGCTCGCGGCGCCCGCAGGAGGCGTACACGGGACGGGAGTCGGAGAGCATCGCTTTCGGAAGCGCAGTTATGCTTTTTGGAGGCGCTCTGCCGAGTGCCTCTTTGCAGACGGCCTGTCCAGCGCGGGGGACCCACCGCCAGGAGCCCGTCCATGCGAAGTCTAGCATTGCTGCTGTGTCCGTGTGCCGTCGCCGTTGCGCTGCATCTCTGGCTGCTGGCGAACAGAGCCGCCTTCTTCTTGGATTTGCAGGATTCAGGTACATGTCTCGTGCAGTTTCCCCAACTTTTCTCCGTTATCGCGAGCGGGGCCCGATTATGCTCCGGTTTCTCGTCCCTTTAAGGTATTTCTGCATCGCTTTGAGATAATATATATAAGACTTTGCATTTCAAACGAAACAATCTCAAACTGCAGCTTTTCGCAACGGATGTAAAGATGCGCGCATCTCTGGTTCGGTGGGGCATTTGTCGGCTGACGGCAAGCTGTGTGTTTCAGCTATATTCTTATCAGAGATGACAGCTCCATAATTGAATTTATTTAGCACCGCACCTTAATGATACGTATTGTAATCCTACGATGGATTGTTATACTTGGCAGAACGGGGTAAGTCGCATTTTTAAGCGGCTTTAATTACTCCGTTATACACCAGGTACCGGAGGGATACGTCTCGTTGAGCAGGTGATACGGGTTGCTGTACTGTTATATCCCCTTTGGAACCGTCTACTTTGCATGGATCGTCAGGCATCTGAATTGTGATTTTTCTGTCTCCAGATGCTGTGTAATTCGGGCTCCTTCTGCGATCTTGTAAAACCACGGCGTTTCCCAGTTTGCCACCTGCAACACAGGGCTGTCAGTTCTGTCAGGGAGACGCATGAACCCTCTCTCTCCTTAAATGCTTTCAATCGGACAGATCAGCAGCTGCGGGCCCCTGAAGTTCTGGTCGGAGTTTTGTCGGCGCGTCACCACCATGCGCTAAGAGCCGCGATAAGGGACACCTGGCTGGGGTACCTCAGGGAACATCCCCAGTTCCGACAGCGGTGCGTAGCCGACAAGGTTAAAACACTGTACAATCCAGCATGTTGTTTGTTCTATCGTTGTATGAACTGCATCCATTTTCGCGTTTATGGAGCACGTGTCCTTTTCCTGGGCTGGACCTGTTACGGCTGTCTGACCATGTCCGGCACCTCCGGGCCGTAGGGTGCAGGTGAAATTCATCGTCGGCAGACATGGCTGCGCCATACCCGAGGAGGACCTGGAGGACCCGTACTCGTGCATCCTGCTGAACATCACCGAACCCGGTAAGGTTAACGGCGCCCCCCCCACCCTTATAGCAGTCCTTCATTGTTAGGCAGGTAATTGCCCTTCACAAGCACCGATCACCGGTGAAACGTCATGTTTACAACGTGTCATTTTGAATGTCTAATACACCTTTTGCATGCCTTTCCTGGGCGGCAGGCAGTGCTGCGCGACTCAGCGCGTTAAAACGCAATTACGCTTTTAGCTCTGAATTCAGGTCAGCACGCCCGCTAAGTGGACGATTAATTGGCAGCGAGCGCTGCTCTCGCGCTGCTCCTCTCTGCGGAGGGAAGCGCCGTTTCTTGTTTTTTTTTTTTTATTGTGCTGACGAGACTTTGCAAACGAGCATTTCAATTAGCCTCCGAGTTCAGAGAACGACTCCCGGCATCGAGGCTTCATTTCTGTCACTCCCCGCAAGTTCAGAACATCTGCTGTGGGGATGCTCACCTAGAGAGCATTACTGCTTAATCGCTTCTTGCCTGCGGAAAAGGGAAGTTTTTATTTTTCCGTAAGCCGTAAAATAGAACGTAGCCTCCCTTTAACGGCCTTGTACTTCCCATTGATCTCCTGGGTAATAAACTGTTCTTTTCCTAATTAAGAAGTCCCCCCCTCCCCTGCTGAGATGAGTCTGCCTTTAGACAGGAAGCTCCCCCCCAGGATGAGAAGTGCTTTGGAGTGCTGACGCGAGGAATAATGTGGAACGTGCCCATATGCCCGTCTTTTTACCCATAAGCCCCCCCCCCCCTTCTGTGATCTTAGATCAGCAGGGGCGAAGCATTGTCAGCTTGGCAATGAAGGCGTGGCAGTGATGGATCAGGGATTCTGGGAATGTGCCGGGGTGGGGGTAAGGGGGGGGGCATTGACAGGTGTTGGCTCTGGCTCGCAGCAGATTCCCAGGAGCTGGAGGTCCTCACCGTGCAGCACGGCTCTGCTCTCGGTCCTTCCAACGTCTCCGTGCTCAGCTTGGACTTCAAGGTGCTGCACCCCCTGGTGGTCACACGCCTGGGCGTCTTCCCAGACGGCCCCGCTCAGGAGCTCCACGGCAACATCACCGTCAAGCTTTTCCAGGTGGACCAGGAGGTGTGTCACCGTGGTAACGAGGCACACTGCATGACCCTATTCTGACCTGCAGGAGAGAGGACCGTGTCTAGGCTGGCATATCACAGACCAGTGCAGGCTCTGCTTAATTAGCGCCTGTAGAAATTTGCAGAGTAAATTCCCATCTAGCTATCGACTGGTAAAAAAAAAAACTAGAGCAAAGCAAAAGTCAGCCCATCCTGCAGCCAAGGAGACCTGCGAGCGCCTGTCTTCAAAGTTTCCGCTTCCATGAAAGCGTGCTCTTTGGTGCCCCCTGCAGGAACCCGTGGTGACAGCTCGCTTCAGTGCCATCAGCACAGGCACCAATGTGAACGGAGTGTGGTACAAGCCGGTGGAGCAATTCATCCTGCCACGGGTAGGAGGGGGTCAGCTGCCGCGGGACCTCAGAAAGCGGAGTCTAGGCGCGTTGGGTTTAATGAATAGCCTGAGCCAACCAGCTAGAGTCGGAGCAGCCTGTTCTATTTACGCCAGATTGAACTAACGGCATGTTGTTGGATGTCTGTCACACGGATGGATCTTCATATTCCTAGATCTCTTGACACCAGTTTAATGTTCTACAAACACAGCTGCCTGTGCTAATTGGCCGACATATTGAAGGCTCAGGAAGTGTGGCGGGATCCCGTAAACCGCAGCATCTGGCCGCGTTGTTTCTCCAGGGCTTCGAGGGCTCGCTGGTGTGGGAGAGCCTGGACTCCGCCAGTCTGACCACGGTGGACATTTCCAGGGTGCAGCTCAACACCGGCGGGGGGGTGCTGAGGTTGTCTGCGGTAAGGGCGTGACGTGTGTGACATGACGGGGGGGGGGAGGGTGTGCGGCACGACGGCAATGTGGAAAGTGAGAGATTAACAGGTGACTTTAATGTTGAAGCCGGAGGGGGTGGGCAAGTGGAATGGACCATTTTTTTTTGCCGGGTGGAATTAAAGGAAGAGTAAAAGGAGATCACCTAAAAAAAAGACGACCCAGGAGTTTTTGGTGTAAAATGTAAACAGAAACACCCAAAAACAAGTTTCAAAATTTGCAATAGTTGAATCTCTCATATTCGAGTTGGTTTTGTTTTTACTGATGCTTATTAAGTGTGACATGGTGGATTGTGGCGTGTTTGTCAGATATGCAGACACACGCGCACAGAGTGGGTGTGTGCAGGCTAAGGGGTGCGTGATGCGTTGCAGGTGGCGGAGGGCACGCTGCCCCACAGGAGCGCCCGTGGTCTGCCGGGACTAGCTGGAGGATTCACCTTCACCATATATGGTAATAGTGCGGTGCTGGGACAGACGGGGCCAATCGCAAAACAGGGTGATCCCCAGGCCGAACCACGACACTGGCAGATGGGGGTGAGCATTTCATTGGTAGGTGCCGTCTTAACCTCTGAACTCTGCTAGATGTGGAGGCTCTGTCAGAGATGCTGCGGGGCCGTCCGACCCGCCGAGAGCGGCACGCGGCCAGGCTGGAGGAGGAGGGGGAGGAGCTGGAACGGGAGAGCCGTCGGCACGGTGACATCGTCTTCGTCGACGTGGTGGACACCTACCGGAACGTTCCGTCTAAGCTGCTGCAGTTTTACAAGTGGTACGCGACCAGCGGTCGAAGCCGTGGACCCTCTCCTTCACGTGACTTGGGCTCTTCGAGCGGATTTCAGTTTTTAATCAAAGTGACCGCTCGCACTCTGATAGGTCAGTGAGAAGGGCTGACTTCAGCCTTTTCCTGAAGACGGATGATGATTGCTATATCGACGTGGACGCCGTGCTAATGAAGATAGACCGAAAGCAACTGAAGCGGAACAATTTCTGGTGGGGAAAGTGAGTACGAGCTTTACTTTTTCTGGAGTGTGCGTGTCTGTGTGGTGGTGGGGGGGGGTTCCCCCATGCCTGTTCTCCCTCCGCTCACGCTTGCCACGCAGTTTCAGGCAGAGCTGGGCGGTGGACCGCGTCGGTAAGTGGCAGGAGCTGGAGTACGCCAGCCCCGCATACCCCGCCTTCGCCTGCGGCTCGGGGTACGTCGTCTCCAGGGACCTCGTTCAGTGGCTGGCCGACAACGGCGATAAACTCAAGGCCTACCAGGTACCTGCCGCCCTGGCAGAGGGACACGATTGCAAAACCGGTATTAGTGGCAGGCAGGAAGACTTTTCTTTAGTCGGGGAGTAAATCAACACAGAGTAACTGTGCCCCCGCAGGGTGAGGATGTCAGCATGGGGATATGGATGGCCGCCGTGGGACCCCAGAAATATCAGGTAGATTTAACGGCTCCGCACACTTAGACACGTGCTTGGCGGCGTGAGACGATCCCGCAGGGCCGGGCCTGAAGGAAAAAGGGCTGCACCGGTCCCCTTAGATTAATGTGGCCCTTCATCTGCGTGCACAAGTGGTAAAGACAGCAGACACTTGTCCTTGTCCTCCACTTTTGGCTGCACCCATCTTTTTTTTTTGCGCATTTCATTTATAAAAAAAAGAAGAGATGATAAATTTGCTTCTGGTGGCTGCAGCTGCTCCTGACGCTCAGCGGCTGTGCCGGTCCTCTCTGCAGGACCCCGGCTGGCTGTGCGAGAAGGACTGCCAGCGGAATATGCTGTCCTCGCCCCAGCACTCTGCCCAGGAGCTGCGATCCATGTGGGCCTGCAGGACGGCGTGTGGCGACGCCTGCGGCTGCCCCAGGGCCCGGCGCTGAGCGGCAGGGGCACCGGCGCCGGTCCATTCATCACCCTGATCCAGAGGCTTGTCTGGCGACCGGCCCCGTGACACCAAAACCCAGTGACAAATCTGCAGAATGACAGACTGGCTGGTTCTGTTCTTTATTTTAATTCCTTCCTTACATCTCCTACATCACAGGCTCTTAAACCTCTCCTACAGGAACCCCAGACACGCCGCACATGGGAGACGCAAGCAGCAGCGTGGCTGAGCAAGGGACCGACAGGATGGCAAAATCAAACGGAATGGCGGGGTGTCCCCTAGGGGAGGTTTAAAAACAACACACACCAAGGGGGTGGGGGTATCTTAAGATGACAAACACTATCCCACCCCCTCCCCCAAGACATGCCAGGAGTGATTTCACACAGACGGCTGCCCCACAAGGACTCTGCAGTACAGAAAGCGAGACGGCAGGCTGCTGCAGATGGGATTAGCTCGTCCTTTACGTCAGAATCTGAGGCCGAACCCATGCGAGCTGCAGTCTGAGACTCTTAATCTCGCCGGAACAGACGCAAGTATATATAAAAGTTTAATTTTCAGTACTTCTGTTCATGGCAGCGGCTGCAGCGTCGGACGTCGTCCTATCAGGTGGCTGCCCCGCCCCTTTTCAGAGTCTCTGTGCTTGCTAGATGCTTTTCTACCATCTGTGAATAAGGACGCCGCCGCCTCGTCTGATCCCCTTCCGCCACGAAAAGTAGTCCCGTTTCTTGTAGACTGGTTGTCGTAGACGTTCCTCACAGCAGGCTGCAAGCAATTCAAATGCACAGGTGATTCAGTATTGTATAAATATTCATTTGAAATATTAAGATTATGAAAAAGTATTTAATCCTGATATTTGGCATCTACATAGCCATGCTACTCTTGACATTAACAATAGTGGTTTTTAATAAAACTGCAGCACTGAGTGAACCAGATTATTATTATATTTTTTTGTTTTAAAACTTGAACAGTAACGTTAATCCATTTTAAAAGGTGTGATGGGTAATCTGGATATAAAAGCTAATAGCATGTCCACAGCACTCGTTGCCACCTAGTGGTGACATTTCGTTTCACAGGATTCTCCCCTGCTGCATGTCAAGCATTTGAATATCTTTCCATACATTAAGAACAGCAGAAACACTTCCTGTATTCGTTTAAAACTTTGGGTGCTGGAAAACTGCCAATCTGAAGCAAGTCTTACTAAATTTACATTTTCTTTTGTATAACTTTATAATTGTCTATTCGTTGAATCGTTACCAAGTGTCAAGATCAAACAGAAATAGGGGAAAATATTAAAACACTGACACTCCCTTTCTGAAGTATGAGAGACAATCCATTGAAGTAGTTTAAGCAGTTAAAGCAGCTTAGTTTGAGAGGCTGGCTGGTTGTCATTCCCAGCCACCGAAACAATGCAGTGATCACATTTAACACACGACAAAAAATAGCCATCGCGGAAAAAACCGAAACACATGGCCGACTCTCAGGACTCATAAGATCCTGTCACCTTGCTGAAATCCATCCAGCTGTTTCTGCTTGTCTTTGACAAGCACTACAAGAAATATATATAAAAAAAAACACCTCCACACAGGACAGTCTGCAGCCAGTGTTCCTCAGGTACCCCCAGATATTCCAAAACGTGGACTGTCTGCAGGTCCCCAAGGGCCAGGTTGAGAGACACCCAACAAGATTGGCCACCCCTGATCTAGACTGACTAATCACACAATGAACCTTAAAGGAGACACTATGTGCAAAGCTGTACACTGAATGTACAAAAAATCAGACCCCTCACTTAGTGTCTGTGGTACCTCAACAAGCAGAGCTCTGTGCCAACAGGTTATGGGTTCAAGTCTCAGGGAACAGACAAACGTCGTAAGCCTTTCCTCTGATTTGGGATGTCAGAGAAATGTATAAAAGGTAATTGTAAAAGCCTGAGTTTCACCACAAGCAGGACACAGTGTGTGACCAGAGATAACCTGACACTTCATTTAAAAAAGTGAAAACTCAGAGGTAATCCAGAAGGTGACTGAAACTAAAGGCAGCACAGAGCAGACCAGGAGGTAAGAAAAACAACATACGATTAACACACTCCAGAGAGTTTTACTCGCAGACATCTTACAACCTGACAGCGGTTTCCATGAAGTCTCTCATATCCCAGGGATGACAGATTTCCATTACTGACCAAAGCTATTTTGCTCATTTCCACATCAGCTGTCCCTCTAATTTAAAAAGTTTCATCCTCTTCGAAGTTTTCTGTGTAGGCTGCAGTCAGGTTAGAGTAACCTACCCTGTTAATTTCGAGGTGTCTGTTGTGGTGGGGTGGGGGGGGGGGGGGCATGTGTTCATTACAATGTGGGGAACGTATGTCTCACCACAATGTGATTAAAAACCCAGCAAAGAGGCCCGTTCCGATTTAAAATTTAATCTAAATCCATTTTCATGTCAGTTTAGATACACGCCCATCATACAAAACGCTGCTGTGAGAAGCGGCTTTATTGCACACACTCTGTGTCGGTGATCAGATGTAATCAGCCTGCAGTCACTGCACTCAGGACACTGTGTGCCCATCCACAGCCACGCAGGTTAATTAGAAGCTGGAGTATCTGGCAGCATGTGTACAGCGAGCCGGGACCTGCTCGTGTTGTACTGGAGACCCAAAGAGGCTGTACAGCTCTGACTCAAATGGGTTAAATGTGAAAGAAATTCTGGACACAAGTATGGATTCAGAACCTTAAACAGGATAATTTTAACGGTTTCTGCAGTATACACATACACACAGTATAGAGGTCCTGAATAACTGCTTGGCTTTTGGTTTGGATCAAAAATATACAGTAAATGCAAAGTACAAGCAATGCAAATACGACATTACCAGCATACGGCTATCGAGGAGCCGACTGGGCGGAAGTGCAGCTGGGCTAAGCTCACAACAAAACAGCAGCAACAAGTGGAAGTTTGTAACATAGAATTGGAGACAGGGCTACACAAACAGCAAGGACCTAAGAGCTAATCAAAGTGCAAAATAAGGACATCCAGGCTACTCAAGAGCACAGCTAAGGAGCAGTTCTGGAAGCAGATGTGGTGCCAAGCGCGGCAAACTCTTAAGTGATCCACAAATTCGAGAAATGCAACCCAGTCCAGTGATGTGTGAACACCATCATATAGCAGGAGTCATGTCCCAAAAGCCAGACTGGTAAATCATAACCTCCAAAAACGGCAGGTGATGAGCGAGGACGGCAATGACATCAAAACAAAAAGCGTTGAAACAAAATGGGATTTCGTTCCCAAATTCCGAGGCTATGAAACAAAGGCCACTGTTCAGGAACAGTGAAAGGGGCGATTGTGGAGGCGGCTTCGCTTACAGGCTGTTTGCGCCCCACAAGAGGCCGGCAGTCAGGCTCCATGGAGCTGCATCACGCAGCACAGAAATTCTCTATACGGGCAACAGAGTTGCAGTCTGGATCTGCCGCTTCAGGACAGCTCTCTCCAATCTTTGTTGAATCATGTGGCCGCTTTCAGCCACAGCCAGGTGCTACGCACCTTTGCAGAATTCACCCACTTGGCGTGCAAATGGGATCCAACACATTTTACACAAAAACAATGAGTCTGCGGCCCTTAAGGGACCAGCGCTATTTCGCTCCCTATTCCCCTAGTAATTCCCCAGCAATTTTTGCTGAGATTGGGTTTTGTGACCCAAAAAACAAATCCTTCAAACCAGTTTAACAACCACCCGCTACAAATCATTTGAAACTGCGTTCACACCAGCTGCGTCTGATCTTTGAAGTCGTTTTGGCAATATGAGAACAAGATGATGCACCTGCAACAATAAGACTACAGCGCATTAGCTACTCTTCCGTCTACCGTTAATAAAATCCAGGTTAGTCAAACCAAACATTTCGTCTCCTAACATGACCACAAATTAGCATTAAGGGGGTGTCCCCCTTTTTAAAAACACTGCATTCCGCTTCTGGGATATCATGATTGCTTTCAATGAGCAATAAACTAACTGCATAGAGGGACACCAAGAGCAAGAATTCAATTACGCATCCTCTCCCACCTGCTGCAGGAAAGCCTGCCGCTGTGTGGTAATTTCCTGACTCAATCTCCGTGCTGTCAGCCACGGGAGATGAAGTTCCCTAGCAACGTTACACTTTTAGGTTTCAGCCTCCATTCCAGGGGCTGACTGATGAGCCCCAAGCAGGTAAACCGAAGGTAAAGGCTATTAGCCCAAATCAAACCTTCCCAGCCATGAAAAACTGAACTTTCACCACTGCTGAGTCTGATGTACTCCAACTAGTGGTACATCCTGCTAACCAAATTCCATGGCAAAATTTCCCCACCAATCAGATGCTTCTCTTCCTTTTGTCTTAACATCCGTGTTTTAAAATGTTGTGTTTTTATGCCTCCATATTCTTATTCCATTCGTTACCTTTTCATGTTGCACTATGACCAGGACTGACATTTCACCCGTGTGTGTGACCCATGCATCATATCTATAGCTGGCAATAACAGACTTCACATACTCTACAAGAACACACTGACATGCAAGTGTGCCTCGTTTTAATAACCTAAAAACACTTTCCACTATGTGGGAATCAGTGTCACAGTTTCAGATTTTGCACTTGGGGTGTCACAGAGACCAAGCTTACTGCCCCCCCCCTCGATGCATCTAGCCAACATGTAGCAAGAGCAAATAATGCTACAAAAGGAACCTTAATGTCCCCTCCACAACCAAGCAGGTCAACTATGAAGTGAAATCCCACAACTGAACACTAGAGGGCGTTCAGGCATTTGTTACAGCTTAAAGGAAAAAAAAAAAATGAGGAAATGTGTTTGGGCTACGAAACAGTTCAACCCGGGGCCACTCTGACAGAATGGAACAAAACGCGCCCCAGCGATGCGTCTTCATTACACGCGACCTTGATGGCTTCTCCGGCATCCAGGAACGAGAGCAGAAGCAGGGCTGCCAAGAAAGGGCTACGATCTGCTGGCCGGCTGCCCCCGGGGGCAGCACCGAGCGAGTAGCTGCACGAGGGAGACTGGCAGCCAGTCACTGGTTTTGTTTTGTCACATGACGACAAGAGGCTACAGCAAAACAGGAAAATGCAGAAATACCTCCTCTGACGTCAGGCGACATT